CCAAGTAAAGTCGCTTTACGATAACCTTAATTTTTCAAAATTTAATTATCACTTTTCTCCAGAAAGAAAAATTGAAAATCGTTATTGTCATAACAATTTTTAAACTATTATTCTGCCGTACGAGGTAAAAACTTAGGTAACCGACATTGTCGCTTAGGCTGATTGTAGCCTGTTTATTACTACTGAAATCAGCCTAAGCGACAATGTCGGTTACCTAAGTTTTTACATCGTACGGCAGTATTGTAGTTTGAAATTTTTCATTCTATTTACATTATTTTAAATCTATATGGGTAATTTCACGTGAATTGATCAAATGATAAAAATGGGTTTTTTTTTTGTAATTTTTTTTTTCTCTTAAATATTAAAACTAAAATTTTTTTTATTAATATCAGTCTCGAAAACTTTTTTGATTTTTTCCTATAAAAATATATAGATGAAAAAATGTGACAAGAATGTTTAAATATTAAAAAAATAGTAAAAAAAAAAAAAAAACTATCAAAAATAGCCAAAAAAGGAAAAAAAATTGTTAATTATCAATATTTAAACATTCTCATACCATTTTTTTCAACTATATATTTTTATAGGGAAAAACTTCAGCTTTCGATTAAAAAAAAAAAATCGTACCTTTTACCTCGAGATAGCCAAATTTATTTTTGAAATTTTTCTCCCCCTTGGAAAATATTGGACTAAATGAAAAAATATTTTCACCATAAATTAACATTTATGAGTACTACAAATGCGTTGAGTTTAAGCGTGATTGGAGAAATTTTTTGTTTTTTATCTTGATCACTTCACCTGGAATCCCCCAAATGTATTTAAGAAAAAAAAAAAATTTTCTAATATTATGAATAACACTCTTATCCCACATAATAAAGAGTAAAATCAATTACAGAAAAACTTAGTCTATTAAATATATAAAAATATGTTATGCTCCATGAGAGAAGGGACCTTACGTCGGAAAAAATTTTAGGTTAAATTTTATCATTTTTGAATTGAAACTACTCACAGAAAATCAACTCTTAACACAAAACATTTATCTCCAAAAATCCAATAAAAACTAATTTTGATTTCACCTAATTAAAAAGAAAATTTTTATCAAGGTAAAACTATCACTAAACATAACCTAAAATTTTGTTTGACGTAAGGTCCGTTCTCTCGTGTAGCGTCACATGTATTTAACAATGTATTCTGTATACCTATATAATTGTAAAAAAATAATAAAATAATAATAATATTAATAGAAGGGAATATTAAATTCCCTTAACTTTTGTCTTTAGAATAGAATTTTTTTTTTCATAAAGAAACTTTCTTTATTATTTTCTTTCCTCCATAATATAATTTGATATCTGTAGTTTTTTTGTTCTAAGCTTACGTCAAAAAAAAATTACATTTAGGGTGAATCTGGAAAATTGTCTATTTTAAGAAATGAGATTCCATGTGCGTATCGCATACAAAGAAGCTTATAATAGAGAGAAAATTCTGAAGAAGCGTCTATATATACATCGAAAGGACAAGGAAAGACCTAGTTCTAGGTAATTTTAAAAGAATTCAACAAGAATGATAAGCAACTTTTATTTATAATGTTAAAGTTAACTGGAGAGTTGAATTGTATCTTTATCACAACCTTAAAGCTCTCTCGATCAATAAAATACGAACCCTAATCAGCGCAGAGCAATCGAGATATCTACTCAGAATAAACAAACAAGTCTATTTAATGCTTCATGTTCTATATGTTTCTCTTTCAATTGTATTAAAAATTTACAATTTCTATTTCAAGTTACATAAATGTATATTTAATGTATATATACAAAAATTTATCAATTGAATTTCGGAATATATTTCAAGTGAAGATAATACAAATTATTAGAAAATCGTTGAGAGAAAATTGATAAAATCAGATACTTGTGGTGGGGTCTATGAAAATTATATAGCATATAGCTTAAGGGTGGGGACATATTACTATATATAAGCCAGGAAGAAGACAAAAAATAATATATAAAAAAAAATTAGCTTCGACACTATAAGCATTTTGTTAATACCGTATTTTTTAATTTTACAACTGTACATATATAAAAAGTACGTTCAAAAAATATTAATTAGTATTTAAAACTAGAAATTATTTTTAACGTATAAAAAAAAATTAAGTAATTAATTTCATTGTACGCCCCAAAAAGGGTAGTAACAATTCTCTCACTACATTATATTCCTATGTATATAAATACAACTCTTAAAGGGACGCATGAATATATACCCCACATTAGACCTTTCGGAATTTTTGTGGTGTCGAATTAGAAATTATCGAATTTTTATTTAGCACAATTTTATAAAGTAGATTTTATAATAAGTCGAATTTCTATTTAATTAAACTCTGATTTAATAGAATTTCTATTTAACTAAACTTTTATAAAGCAGATTTTCCAATACATCGAGTTTTCATAAAATAGAATTTTTATTTAACAAAATTGTTCTTTTATCGAATTTCTATTTATCTATAAATATTCACTTAAAAATATTCTCTTTAACTGCATTGAAAAAAATTCCTAGCACCCGTATACCAGGAAATGACTAGGATGCCTAATCGGTAAAAGAAAAGGTTAATTATAAAACATATTAAAATGAATCCACGAAATTTCAAAAACTCGAAGAAGTACTGCAAGGGACATCAAATGCACATTAGGAAGGTCGGTAAAGTTCACATCGATTACGATCATCGAAATTTTAAAAACCAAGATAATGTATAAATACAACAAAATACTTCAAAAAAAAATATTATACTTACCAGAAAAAATTTAATTCAACCCCAAATTCATTAGAAAAACACCCCTAGTAAAATCCCCTACATTGACATATTTTTCTAAAAAAAATAGAAATTTCATTACACACACAATTTTATTGAAAATTCTTGCACAACATACAACTAAAAGTGTAGAAAAAAATTGACACACCAATACAAGTAGGGAAAGACCCCTATTGCCACCCTTAAGGCAACCACTATGATAACAAAATTCCCAAAAAATTCAATTTTTCTTAGACAATTTTATTGCAAATTCTAGCACAAAGTGCAAGTAAAAGTGTAGAAAAAAATTAGCAACCCCATACAAGTAGGGGAAAGACTCCTATTACCACCCTTAAGGATACCCCTACACTGTAAAAAAATTAGGGAGTTAACATTACTGGGAGTTGGGAGTTAAAATTTTCGAGTTAAAAATCAACTCAAAAAGGGAGTTAATAATTAAATTAACTCCTTACAACCAACTCCCTAGGCATAAAATTAACTCGTAAAGCATTAACTCCCTTCGCTTCAACTCCAAAAGGGTGGGACTTTTATAGCATCCCCTAGGGAGTTGAAAAATTCAACTCCTTTTTTTACAGTGTATGCAGAGATAAAGTAAAGGTACTTTTTTTGAAGGTTTTCTACGTATAATACATAAATTACGTATTATACGTATAATACTGTAGAAAACCAGGTTTTCGAAATTGTAGCCGCATTAATGTCAACATAACCTCTTTTTGTTATTTACTTTCCGGTTTATTGTTGATAAATAAGTATTAATTAATAAATAAACTATTCAAATATTGGTCAATTGAGAACTTATGCTACTATCATTATGCTACTCGGTACTATCAAAGATGTAACAAAAAGTATGGCTATGTTACCCACTATAATCAAGAAGTTACTTCGTACAATCTGGATAGTAACTGATAGAATCTAGATTACTGTTCGTATATGTAAGATCAAATATGGTACCTGGTACTATCTAGATAGTACCCCGTACCATCTATTTCTCTCCGTGTATTATCTTATTTGCAATAATTTCGTAAAAAATTTTAACATTTTAAATGTGCTTCATCCGTTCTCAATTTAGAAAAGAAATACTAATACAATTTAAATTTTATCAAAGCATCGATAATTAATTTTTGCTAATATCAGAACTTTTGAAAATTGGAAATTCGAAACAAGCAGATTTAGGGTTATGTTTCTCAAAATTAACCTCATGTATAATACACGTATGTAGAAAACTCATGTATAATACGTGTATATTACACGTAAAAAATCTTGTATTATACTCGAGGTTTTCTACATACCCATCTCTGCCCCTGAGATAAAAAAAATTCCCAAAAAATTCAATTTTTCTTAGACCAGGCAATTTTATTGCAAATTCTCGCACAAAATGCAAGTAAAAGTGTAGAAAAAAATTGACACCCCGATTCAAGTAGGGGAAACATAGGGGTTGCCTTAAGGCTGGCAATAAAGGTCTCTTTCCCCTACTTGTATGAGGTTGCCAATTTTTTTCTACACTTTTAGTTGTATCTTGTGCGAAAATTTGCAAGAAAATTGTCTGTCTAAGAAAAATTGAATTGTTTGAGAATTTTTTATTCATATTTTTAACTTCATGGTGGTAATAGGGGTCTTTACCTTATTTCTATGGGGTTGCCAATTTTGTTCTACACTTTTACTTGCATTTTGTGCTAGAATTTGCAATAAAATTGTTTGTGTAATGAAATTTCTATTTTTTTTTTAGAAAAATGTCAATGTAGGGGATTTTACTAGGAGTGTTTTTTCTAATGAATTTGGGGTTGAATTTAATTTTTTCTGGTAAGTATAATGTTTTTTTTGAAGTTTTTTGTTGTGTTTATACATTATCTTGGTTTTTAAAATTTCGATGATCGTAAAAACCACAAAAGACTTGATCTATCAAAACGGTCAGACACGGGTATTATTTTTGGGTCCTAGTTTCCGAAAAAGTTGGATTTTTTTGATGGTAAAAAAAAAAGTTAAATTTTGTCAGACGGTGATATAGGTGTACACAATTAATACCGCATCAATAATTATTGTCATCCTGCTTCCTTTAAACTTCTGAATAATCTTAATTTGCTCAACACTAATCTATATATACTCTTTCCGTCAAACAAGACACAACTGATACAATAACATTTTACATAAAAAAATGTTAATTCTGTCAATATTAATACATAAGGAAAACATTTGTCTGTTTCAGGATATTATGATAATAATACAACACAATTTTTAGAAAAGGATTGGCTTCGACATTGAAAGTAACATCCGAGTGAAGCAGAGCTCAAGAAGTATATCTGAAGACAAGAGTATTAAGGGAGGATTGATATAGTGATGACGGTGATGCTGCTGCAACGCTTCGCCACCCCCCAATTGACACATAGCCAAAAAACAGGCAACCATAATAACAGTGAGCCGCCATTTGTATTTCTATTGGAGATTGACGAAAACACTAATAACAGTACCAACAACAACAATAATAATAATAACAATAATAATAACAACAACAACAATTCTAGCTACAATAATAATATAAATTCAGCAAATTACGGTTGCAGTTACATTACTGGTAATACAACAAACAATAACATCAACAAAATTATTTCGACAAGCCGCAGTAACGTTACCATTGGTGGCGTATCAGCGGCAAAGTCGCTAAGCCGTCTTGGGACCCCGGGTGTCGCAATGCGATATTATCGTCTCTGGATATATGCCTGTAACATAGTATTGCTGGGCAGTGCTGTTGGTTTTGCCGCGGCCGTTTCGCGAACACTACTCTTCTCAGGAGATCCTAGACGCTATTTAGTCCCAGGGGTCCCACGAGCATTTGATCCAACTGCTCTTTACGCCTATTTAGCTCTAGCTGTTCAGTTGGGTCTTGTTCAACTTCTTGGCTGTATAGCGGCTAGACGACTCAGTGCTAGACTTCTCAACGCTTACTGGATTCTACTTTTGGCACTACTCTTTGGCGACGTTGTCATCGGGGTAGCTTGGGTCTTTCGTTTTGAGAGAATGCGCGCCGAACTACGTCCAACTCTCAGGCTAAGACTGCAGGTAAATAATTATTTACACTCCTTAAAAAAATGAACTACAATTTTTTGTACACAGCTGAATTTTTCAGGGCTTATAGTACAGAATTTTCTATATACAGAGGTAGCTCAATACAATGTTTTTCGTACAGTGTCATCCAGGGACATACATATGGAATCAAAACAAAATTCAAAAACAATTTTATTTTGCTTCTGATAGGAATCTCAGAATCAAAAGTCAGCTTTGTTTAGTTTTGATTATGGTACTTGAATCAAGAAACGAAAATAGAATCTACTTTTGATTCTGTTTGATGAATGAAACGAAATTAGAATATATTTTTGATTCCGTTTGTTAAGGGGGATACAACCAGTTGTAATTTTCGAAAACTAAATTATTTTTTGCATTTTCTTAAACTATATGTTTTTAGAAGTGTGTCTGTAAATTTGTATGCTGATCCAGTGAAAAATAAATGAGATATCCAGCACAATGCGAAGGCGCGGAGAAAAATAGAAAAACGAATAAAGTCACTTTTATTACTTTAAAAGTAAAACTGGAACTGTCCGCAGTTTCTGCGCGTTTCTGTCAATTTTTACTCCAGAAATAGTAAAATTTACTATTTCCGGAATAATTTTTTTTATTGCAGGAGTAAATTTTACTATTTCTGGAGTAAAAATTGACAAAAATACGCAGAAACTGCGGACAGTTACTTTTAAAGTAGTAAAAATTACTTATACGTTTTTTCATTTTTCTCCGTGTAGCTACAGACCAGGCAGCAGCCATGAAACTAGATAATTTTATAAGAAATGTAAATCAATTTTATTTTTGCATTTTAGATTAACCATAATTGCGGAATTCTGGTCACTTCATGTTTCTTTCGAATTCATATGAATTTTCGAACGGAAAAACGTTTCAAAATACTACACGAAATCCAATCAAAATTTTGTCAGAAATCTGCACGAAATTCATTCGAAAATCGTATGAATCATTTTTACATTTTCAATTGACAAAATACAATTTAAATTTTATTGAAAATATACTGTACAAAAAGCATTGTACCGAGCTAGCACTGTACAGAAAAAAGTTTGTACCACCAAGCTCGGAAACTTCAGCTGTGCATAACTTTCGGACTTTTTTGGTAACATAAACAATAATCTGTTTTATAAAATGTTCTTTAGCGGATAATTTTGTTACAAATAAAATTAACCATTAAGGTTAATTGTAAGCTAACACTTTTACCCGAAAAAATTAAATCTTTTTTAATCGATATACTTTTAAAGGGTCCAGAATTCAATTTTAATCAAACAAACTGGTACTGAATTTTTTTTATGTAAAAAATATCAAAATTTATAAAACATGTCAAAGCGCGCTCTTGGTATCGTAGATGTCCCTGTGGTAAGATTATATTATTTACAAGTTTCCACATATAGCAAAACTTTAAACGCGTTTTTCTCGAAACAACATTTTTCAAGTTGATGGACATTGTAGCTTGAACAATTTTTTTTATCGAATTAACTTTGTCTGAAGTACTTTTTTTGTTCGTCATTTTTTATATCTACTGCTTAGAAGTATGTAGACATTTCTTGATAACATTGTTCTTTTTATCTTAAAAAATGCATGAAAAACATAGGTTCAACTTCTGCGACAAAGGTGTTATTCTCCCTTAACACTACTACAATTCAGATGAATTATTAACAAATTTTCAGAATGTAAAATGTTTGTCAACTGTTAGATTACGATACACAGATAGTTTTACAAAATAATAAAAAAAAATTGTGTTGTTCATCTCAAATGTAGTTTTAATGATTCATTTTATTCGAAACAAAATTAATAAAGCTTCCACTAAAAAAAACATTTTATAAAACAGGTTTTTCTTTTTAAATTAAAAATATTCATAAATATCCAATTAGAAAAACTTTTTTTTAATGTACACTATTTATCTCCGATTCCTTTTTAAACAAATTAATTTCCATTTAACTAAAATTTTATTTTATCAAATAATTTATTTACTAAACTTCAAATTTGACAAAATGCATGTACCAAATTTTCACATGAGTTTCCAATCTATGTACTGTCGGTAAAGTAGATGTGGATAACATCAATAAATTCTTATTTAAGTCATATCGAAATCAAATCTGCGTAATGAAAAAATGAAAATTAAAATCCGTTAATCGCGGAGATCATAAGAATTTGTTTGTTTGATAAAAGCTCTAAAGTCATTTAAGGAGAAGAAAAACAAATGAAAATTCAGTGAAATGGGAATTCAATTAAATTAGAAATCCCACAAGAAGAAAGTCTGCTATAGAAATAGAAATTCTTTAATTCGATAATAATTCTGCTCAATGAAAATACGGTTGCTTAAAATTAAATAAAAATTGATTTTATGAAAATCAATAAAATTTCATTTAATTAAAATATAATTGTCACTGACAATTCTGATGCGGCTGAATAATAATTCAATTAAAATGTAATTTGGTTATGTGCAATTAAATCTGATATTTATTCGAATAAAAATGAAAAATCAATTGAAGCAGTAATATTTAGAATTAATAATGCAACTAGTAATAGAATTAACGTCTCAAATTTTTACTTTTTTTAATAATTTAAAAATTTTTCTCAAAATTTAACTATTTTTAAAATCCAATTTCTTTTGATTTATCAATAATATAGATTTCACTTGTTTCAAATATTCAAATACATTCATTGAAATTAAATTTTCAATAGATTTCAAAACCATAAAATTCTTTCTTCAATAATAAAAGATAAGAGAATAAAAATCGACATTTTCTATATTCGTATATAAATTAGAGAACAAAGTAAATATTTTACAAATATCAAGTTTTTACGAATACTATAAAATTCAACAACCATTTTTTTTTATTATCAATTTCTTTATTCTTTAGCTGAACTTGAGAAAGATAAAAGTTTCTCAAAGTTTTAATACTCATCATTATTGTTATCTATACAATATTGATGTATTTATGTTTAGTTAGAGTTCTATATTTAAAAGAAGCTCGTATGTATTTTGATTTTTGAGATTTTGTAAAGAAAATAAGATTAAAATTCAACAATCTTTGACTATCCATTAAAAAGGGGATAAATATTGATTAAAAATAAATTTTAAGATATTTAAACGGAAGTTTTTTCTCATGAAATAATTTCGTTTTTCTGGAAATTCAAAATTAGTATAAATGTTGACTATAATTTAAAGGAATGACTGATAGTTTTATTTTACTGTTTTTTGGAAAACTTTCTAGATTGATAATTAGTTAAGATTAATAGCTAATTTATGAAAGCAAAAGGTCAGTCATTCAAATTAATAAATAAAGTGTTATGTCTAATTTAGATTAAGATTAACACCTTTTCTATCGAATGTTCATTTAACATATATAGTTTTCTAAATATTACCTATCATTGATATTTATATAGATGATTAATTGCTATAATTTTTTGTTTCTAACAGTTTAAAAAAATTAGGGACAATAATAACATCAAGATTAGTACTAAAAGCAGGCAGTTTTTGTAGTTAACCATAAATATTTCTTTTTCAAGAGACTCAAGAGTCAATTACTTTATTAATTTGATTATAAATCCGGTTCAACCCCTTGACATAACCTTAAACTAAAAATTGGTTTTATCACTAATTTAATGAAACTAAAATTAAAATTAATTTTACTAAATTTTTGAAAGATCTAGTTATACAATTTTTAAAACAAATTATTTTGAGTCATTTGTTGTTAAATAATAATTTTTTTAACAACTTTTGAACAAAATTCAATATAAATAGAATTTTATTTTTGTATATTGTTTAATTAATTTTAATAAAATACTTAACAGTGAGGTTACACCTAACCTCACATTTTCTAAAAATTTCCAACTTAAATTATAATAATTAATTTTTAAAAATATCATAATTTTCGTACATAACAGAGCACTGAGAGAAACAATTGATTGCGATTACCATTACGTTAGTAAAAATATTGTTGATAATTTAAATTAGTTACTATTACCATTTAGTTAGTCCGCCTAACTATTTCGTAAGGTAACTAATTAAATAGTTATTCCAACAAACAAATTAATTAAACCAACTAATAAAATAGTTATGCCAACTAATAAAAATAGTAACCCCAACCAATCTTTTCTCTCAGTGAGCCGTTCCACATTCTGTGTAAATAATTATTATTTAACAACCAATTTTGTCTAAAAACATATTTTTTTGAAAATTGTACACTCTAATCATTTAAAATTTGATGAAATCAATTTTAATTACAGCAGATGAGAGATTATATTTTTATTTGTTGTCCCGGAAGAGTTTTGACTTTGTTTATGTGAAAAAAATTATAAAAATGTTAATTTCGAAAAAATTATTACTTATTTCAGATTATCCCAAAATTCTAACCTCAATCTCTCCTTGGGAAATAACTTTTTAAGGTCCTCCTCAAACATAAGGTACATGGTCCTTATTTTTAATTTTGTAAAACTTTTTCTTCTAACAAAAATTACATAATTAGAAAAACAAATTTATTTTTAATATTTTCTTTTATTTTATATGAAAATTTTGTTCTAATAATCAAATATTTAGAATATATGGAAAAATTTGATTTTGATTATTAGAACAAAATTTTTATATAAAATAAAAGAAAATATTAAAAATAAAGAACCCCGCACCATTTACATGGGAATTTGGGGTCCGGTGAAATTTTCTGCAACTTTGAACTTTTGTAGTTTTTGACCTCCTGAACAAAATATGTAAATGGCAAAATTCCAAAAAAAGGACACAATTTTTAAAAATTGAGGTTCAAGTGTAAAAAATAGTGTTAAAAGCGAAAAAAATTCAAAAATGAGTAAAACCAAAAGAACAAAATAAACTTTCTTGAAATTCGTTAAAAAAAATAATTTTTAAAAATTCTTTCGCCTGTCTGCATCCGGTATTTTGAATTTTGAAAAACTGTCATCGAATTCGTAATCAGCGACCCCGAAAACCACCGAGTAACGAGATTCAAGGGGAATTCGATGTATTTAAAAAAAACTCGTCGGCCATTTTGGATCCGCCATTTTGGATTTTGAAAAATGGACATCGAATTCGTAATCAGCGACCCAGAAAAACCCCGAGTAACGAGATTCAAGGGAATTCGATGTATTTAAAAAAAATCGTCGGACATTTTGGATTCGCCATTTTGGATTTTGAAAAATTGACATCGAATTCGTAATCAGCGATCCCGAAAACCCCAGAGTAGCGAGTTTTAAGAAAGTTTATTTAGTTCTTTTGGTTTTACTCATTTTTGAATTTTTTTCGCTTTTAACACTATTTTTTAAATTTAAACCTAAATTTTTAAAAAATCTGTCCATTTTTTGGAATTTTGCCATTTACATTTTTTGTTCAGGAGGTCAAAAACTACAAAATTACAAAGTTGCAGAAAATTTCACCGGACCCCAAATTCCCATGTAAATGGTGCGGGATTTTTTATTTTTCTAAATATGTCATTTTTGTTAGAAGATAGAAGTTTAAAAATAAGGACCATGTACCTTATGTCTGAGGAGAGCTTATTAGCTGAGGAGAGTTATTTCCCGAGGAGAGATTGAGGTTGGAATTTTGGAATAACTTGAAATAAGTAATAATTTTTTTCGAAATTATAACATTTTTATAATTTTTTTCAGATAAACCGAGGGGGAATTTACTCAGGTAGTCAAGTGTACACTCTTCCTGTAATACTTGTGTAATAACGTGTAATACCGTGTAATACCGTGTAATAATGCATTATTACGGTGCTGTAATAACGCAAAAAACTCTGTAATATCTCTGTAATAATGTGTAATACTCTGTAATAACGTGTAATAACTGAGTAATAAGGGTAATATGAGGTGTAATACCGGTAGTCAAGTGTACACGTTTTTAACTAGTAAATTCCCCCTCGGATAAACAAAGTCAAAACTCTTTAGGTTAAGTGTGTGAAACTGAGTTCGTTATATTTACTTTCGAGGTATTTATGTATAAAAAATGTCCCATTTTCAGAGAAGCTGTACTAGTTCTTCATTCAACATTTTTGAATAATAATTAATATTTATTTACTAATATATCACTGCATTTAACAAAACTTTTCCACAGTTAACTGTCCATGCCTTTTGACGCGAAGTAAAACTTACTAATCCTTATCTGTGGCAGCTAAGGATTAAAGCTACTACTTTTCATCAAAATTATATTCTATCAAATAATAATAATAATAATAATAATAATAGTATTAATTAATAATAGTATTAATAATCAAGTGGTATTTCTTTAGGGTGATTACAACAAGGAGACACGATTTAGTGAGCAGTGGGATCGTCTTCAAAGGGACTTCTCCTGTTGCGGAGTGACTGATCCACAAGATTTTGGATCACGTTGGCCACATACTTGTTGTGAGCCAAGTTCAAACGTAAGCGAGGTTTGTGAGCCAACATATGCCAAAGGTTGTGAAGAATATTTAATGGATTGGCTGAGAAAAACTGCGGACTTACTCTTTGTTCTTGGTTTTTGTGTAATTGCATTTACAAAATTATGTTTTCTCGGAATTCTTCGTTATGAAATTCGAGAGATGATACAAAAAATACATTTACTACGTGAACCACCACCTCAAACGACAACATTCATACAATCCTTTTCACAAGGACCTTTGGATACGACGAACAACGGAAATATCGTGCGTCGTACAACACTGCCGACGGTTACGGCACCTTCCGGTAAGATTTCACCTGTCTTTGTTTAGAGGAAAATCAATGAGAGAGAATATGTTTCAGATAACAAAATATTTTACGAGACTAAAACTGTATCAAGCAAAATTTTAAGTTAAATAATTTTTTTTACGTAAAATTATTTTTTATACATATAGAAGTATCAATTTTTTTCATTTTTTTTTTTTGTTTTTAAGGTAGTATGCTCGCGATAGCACTTTTCTATAGAATTCCATAAAATTTAAAATCTTAACAATTAATAATAAGATTTAGAAATTTACAAAATTTAAAAAAAAATTGACCGTTTCTAAAAACGGTAGATATTTAAGTTCAAAGTTTGTTAGTTTAACATTGTTAGCCTATTTAGAGTGCACATAAATGGCACATTTCTCTCAATGACTTCTAAAATTATCTATAGATTTTTTTAAAAAACTAGTAAGTTACAAATAAATATTTATAGAATTTAAAACAAAGAGAATCAACAACATTGACCGTTTTGTTTAAGAGATTGAAGAGTTTAAAAATTATTAATTGTGAGGTTAATGCCTTGTGAGATTAGGGGAAGTATTACTAACACGAGCCTGAGCACGCGTATGTATAGAGGCTAACGATGTATATAGTACAGTCAGGCAAAAAAATTTAAAGCAACAAGCAGTAGTTACCCTAAACTTTTTAAGCTTACTATTGAAATTTATTTTCGGAAGTGACTGCTGCAAGCATACTACCTTAATTGCGGTATTAACTTTTAAGTATAAAAATTATAGTAAAATTCGATTTTAAAATATATTTCGACTAATTTAACGAATTTATAGTAAACATTTTTTTGGAAAACCCTAATTATTTTAGAAATATAGGATAGAACATTCTTCCAATTATCTCTAAATTTGAATTAGTTAAAAATAACTAATTCGATAACATAAAGTCAATTACGGATGTAAATAATAATATTCCTACCAATCTTTTAGTTAAAAATAACTAATCATTAGTAAAATTTAATTTAAGGTTATGTTAAACTAACGAAAATTTATAGCAACTAATTCCACTAATCAAATTTAATTATTTTCTGTTTTTTTTTCATTTAAAAGTTAGTTACTTTTTACTAACAATTAGTTTTTTTTTTTTACTAATTTCTGAAAAAAAAATCAGGTAAAATTTTTCTAAAAATTAATTATTTTTAACTAATTCAGATTTAGAAAAAATTTTGTTTTGAACAAATAATAAAAATTGTTTATATTGAACATATAAATAAATAATTATAAATTAAACATAAATATATTACAAGTAGTCCATGACAATTTTACAGAATTATCAAAATTGACATTTTGGTTTTGATTAAAATTTTATTATATTTTCAAACTTAAAAAAAATATTCTCGATATAATAATAAAAGGTTTTCTTTTATTTTACAGCAACTTTTTGCTCTTAAAAATTTTGTATTTAAAGTATTCTTGTCTGATTGAGAGAATTTTTTCTGCTTTTAGAAAGAAATAAAGTCAAATAAAAAAAACAATTTATATGATCATTTTCAAAATAAAATGTTAAAGGTACATTTAGAAACGGAATATTCTTTTCATTCTGAAAACTATTTTTTTTTCAATATACGAAAAAGAGTTTCATGATTTTTTTCAATTTTTTTTTCATCCAGCCTTTTTATAAGATATAAAGTTTCCATTTTAAATTTTGAAAAAAAAAATTTTTAATCCTCTTAACTTTTAGTTTGGAAAATGTATCAATTTTAATGTTGAATTGTTTGTATCCTTCGAGTTTTATAGAAATTTTTTTTTTTTTAATGTATTTTCTTTTAAACAAATTTTTATCTGAATTAATTGATTAATATTTAATGAAGATATGACGATTTATGTTTTTTAAAATTCAATTAATTTTGAGAATTTTAATTAGTCAGTTTTTGTTAATTATTAGCTAAAATATTCGTTCTACAAAAAAAAATATCAGATAAAAAAAAGATGCGCTTTTTAAAATTATTCAATTTGAAAATAAATAAGTTGCTTGCAAAATAATTTGAATTTTACAGTAAATGTATTATTGAATAATTTAATTTTAAAAAATTGATTTTTTTAAATATGTATTTAAAACTTTATTTGTCATTGTGGGTCCAATGGAACCCAAGCACATTTTTATTTAATTTCTATTTCTATTATTGTTTGATTTGGTAATATTTTCTTTCTACTAAAGTTTTCGTGAAAAATGACTAAAAATGAGTAGAAATTTTCACTAATTATAATTATTACATCAATAAAAGACAGGACTAAAATTTAAACCCTTAACAATAAAAAATAATAATAATGCAATTTTTAGTAAAAATTTCCATTTTAGATATGACAAGTAAGGGCTAATTGAATTTTATTCTTAATAAATTAATAATAATTGAAATAATTTTTAAATTTCTTTGAAAAATTTGTAAAATTCGGAAAAAATGACAAAATTTTATAAAAAATTTTTATTTTGTTATTATTAAAAGAGATTAAGATAATTATAAATATGTTCAATGCATCATTCTGAAATATGTATTAAAAATAAATTTTTTTGTTAAAAAAAAATTGTAAGAATGTTCTATCCTCAAATATTAATAGAAAAGTGAATAAAGATTTTAACGAATATAACTAACTTAAAAGTAGAAAATGAAAGTTTAATTAAAAAAAAAAACAAACAAAAATCTATTTTTAAGAATAATGTAGGCGTGTATTTAAGTAAGTACGTTGCGCAGTGAACTACGACGCACAACAGTTTTTTTTTTATAATACTTCTGTATGTAATAATTGTTAGCTGAAATCTTGGCTGAATTTTTGCTTCAGTAATTAGTAAAAAATAACTAATTATTAGTAAAAAGTAAATAATTTTCAGTGGAAAATAACTGGAGAAATAGTCAAAACTAATTCAATTAGTTACTATAAATTTTAGCTATTTTAACATAACCTAAAAGTGAATTTAACTAATAATCAGTTATTTTCAACTAAAATATTAGCAGAAATAGTACTGTTTATTATTATTATTATTATTATTTATTAATCAATAACTGACATTTTGCTATGAAATTAGTTATTTTTAACTTATTAGAGAATAACTTTAATATAGACATACATTTTGTAAAACAGTATAGTTAAACTTGTAAAATATTTAAAACTTGTCAAAAAATACTTGTGCACTCGACACTCATTAATCTAAAATGTCGAGTTGAAAATTAGAAAACTTTTTTTCTACCAATTATGAAATTCATGACTTTGAAGTCTTAAAATAAGCAAAAAAAAAAAAAAAAAATTGATTAATGTCAACATCGTTAACGATTCCGTTGAATGAAGGTCACTTTTTCAATGCTCCGTTTTTTCTCTTTCATATCTAAGAAGTAATTAATAATTACTGTTATCAAAAAAGAGAAATGGCAATTGAATAGAATTTAAAATTAATTAGCAAAAACTACATTTCGAGTCTCGTTTAATCGAATTCATCAAATCTAAAAGAGAGCAAAAAGGTGATTCGGTTAAACGAAAATTTGGTTAAACCGGAAACAGTGATAAACATAGTTTACGATAATGTGAAAAACGTGTGAATAGTCTTTCTTTATCTACCGCATAAATTTCAAATAAAATTACATTTAAATTAGTTAAATTAAACTTCTTTTTTAAATTTATTTTTTGTTGAACTTCGAAAAAAAGATTTTTTTTTTAATTTTGTAAATGAAAAATTCGGTTATTCGAGACTCTTCGACCATAAATTTCATAAAGGCCGTAGCATGATAAGCATGGAAAAAGTGCCTCCGAATGAATCAGGTCTATATTTAGGGAATAATTTAGTCCTATTATGAAACTTATTTTTACCAAGTTTTAACTAAATTAACAAAATTTTTGTTTTTGAGTTACACTCTTTTTTGAGAAATTCAAAAATTTTGATTTTCTCCGAATTGGCTGAACCGATTTTCATAAAACTTTTTGCAAAAATTTAAGAAACAAAAGTGAAGTTTACACTCCTGATATTTGCTTAACTAATACCGTTTGCAAAATGTTGATTAAAAAATGAATCTTTACAATAAATATGCATTAATTATTAACTTTTTAACGAATATTGAATTTAAAAAAATGTTGGTCCCTCATTTATAAAGAAAAATGTACTATTTAGAGGCCAAAAATCGGATTTTTATTTTTTAAATTATGAAGTACCCTTTCAATCATTTTCAGGCCTCGGATTGACTTTAAGGCACAAAAAAAGTCGTTATTTAGTCGACTTATATTTCAAAAAAAGTTGAAAAAGTCGATTTTTTTATTTTAACAAAATTTAAATATGGTTAAAAATATTTTACTTTAAATAACTAATGTTATTAGATATTAAATTAATTTTATTAATTCTGTAATGAGAATAATTCTACAAGAATATTATCAAGAAAATTTATTTCCAATATTTCAGAATCGAACTACAATTAAAATTTCTAAAAAAAAATTCTTAAAGTTCCATTTTTATAATGTTTACAAGTCTGATTTAAGCAATTTATTCGAATTAAAAATTTTGGCATATTTTTTAGTTTTGATAGTCAAAAAATTTTTTTTTTTAATTAAAAATAATTTTGGAAGAGTTCAAGTTGAAATTTTTAGAAATAATTGAATTTCAAAAGATTTTGTTAATTTTCAGACAATAATTAAATTTTACAGAACTAAAAATAATTTATCAAATAATTTTGGATAACATTTTTTAAAAGTAATTAAATTTTCAAAGACTTACAATTTTGATTTTTGAAATTCATTGAACTAGTTGTATATTTTCGAAGAATATTATAAAAATCATTAAAAATAATTGAATTTCAGGAAAGTTATAATTGAAATTATTAAATTTCAAAAAATTTTAGATGAAAATTTTAGAAATAATTAATTTTTAGAAGCTTTTAAATTTAAATTTTTGAAAATAATTAAATTTCAAAGGATTGTGTTAAATTTCAAACAATAATTATAATAAGAGAAATTTTTAGTGATTTCTGTTGATTTCTGTTACATTTACAATGTAAAAAAAAAGGAGTTGAATTTCAACTCCCTGGGGGATGCTATAAAAGTCCCACAATTTTGGAGTTGACGCGAAGGGAGTTAATGCTTCACGAGTTAATTTTATGCCTAGGGAGTTTGTTTTTAAGGAGTTAATTTAATTATAAACTCTCTTCTTGAGTTGATTTTTAACTCGAAAAATTTAACTTCCAACTCTCTAATTTTTTTAACAGTGTAAAAGAAATTAAATACAAAAATTGAATTCCAAAAGTTTTTAATGGGAAAAATGCTTTCAGATAATTGAATTTTCAAAGAATTTTTATAAAAATCATTAAAAATAATTGAAATTTTTGCAAATAATTAAATTTCAAGTGATTTTGAATTAAACATTTTTAGTAATTTTATTTGCTAATTTTTTAAAAATTATAAACAAATTATTAAATTTCATAAAAATTTTAATTGAAAAATAGTTTAAGATAATTGAATTTGTGAAGAATTTCATTAAAATTATTAAAAATAATTAATTTAGTGAAGAATTTAAGTTAAAAATTTGTTAATTAATTGAAATAAAGAAGATCTGAAGAAGAGTTGCATTGTATTCTAAAAAAAAACGTATTTTGTTTAAAAATTTTGTAAATAAATGTAAAAAAAAGTCGAAAAAGTCGCATTTTAGTGAAATAAGTCGAAAAAGTCTTACAATCCGAGGCCTGTATTTAAGGTCACAACTATTTTTATAGAAAAAATATGATGGTGGTGCAAAAAAAATTTCGACCAAAAAAAATGCTTATTAGATTAAAAAAAAATTTGGTTTAGTGCCTTCCTATGCAAGAATTTGGCCGCCAATTTTTTTTTTTTTTTTTTGAAACTGTCTTGATATGTTGTACAACATATATTTTTTAAATAAAAATCGGTTCAGCCAATTCGGAGAAACTCAAAATTTTTGAATTTCTCAAAAAAGCGTGTAACTCAAAAACAAAAATTTTGTTTTAGTTGAAACTTGGTGAAAATAAGTTTCATAATAGGACAAAATTATTCCCCAAATATGGACCTGATTCATACGAAGGCACTTTTTTCATGCTTATCCTGCTATGGACTTTGTCACAGTAGATATAATGAAAAAAAATATCATTAATCAATTAAAGGGCGAATAAATTTTCAGGTAATGCATCGCTGTTACTTCAAACAGACGAAAGTATCGTTAGTAAACATCCATTATTAGGTAATAATTTACAAGATGGAGGTGCGGATAGTGATACGAACAGTCATTGTGCTCTAATATTGGAGGAAACAACTCCCACCTCAACAAATTACAATAATTGTAATTCAAAAGAAAAAAGTAATGGCAACAATAATTATGAAATGAGAGAATTTAATAGAAGACTAATACTTTCAAATGGTGGAAGTCCTGGAGTTGGAGTGACGACCGGAAATCAAAGTAAACGAACCTGACTATGGAAGTTCTGGCGAAACACTTCAAATCGTTTTCTTTATAAAAATAATCGACCTGCCGAGCTATCAATATATAAGTGAACAACCATATACATACAGTACATACATACATTTATTTCATTTTCAAACAATCCAAAGATGAGCCAAAGGCTGAGACAGGATATGCCTTATAAAGAAACCAGAATTGCATATGTATCTAGATAAAAAGAATTAAGGCCGGACCTATACCAAAAATCACAGGCATTAAATAATTATATATATATATAATACATACATACATAAATACACATTCCTAATCGGCCTATTATTTATTTTTCACATTTTCTCCCCCCATTTATATATAATTTTTGAGACACATGAATAAGCTCTAAAATTAATTTGTTAGAATTTTCATTTCACAGAATTTCATTACCTAGAATTTATTTCTGCCGAATTTTTATTTCTTCCAATTATTATGCTATATATAAAATTTGAATTTTAAATGATCTCCGAACAATACACGAAAAATAATTTTTTAGATTAAAAATTGTGTCAAAATTTTATTGACAATATAAAATAAGTGGAATAACATCTGAATTGTGACACTTTGCAGGGAATGGTAGCTTTTTTTCGATACATGGTGGGGAACTAGAATAGAGAAAAGCAGGGTGAGGCAGGTGTCAAAAATATAAAGATATGGCATATTTCGGACGTTCTACCGAAATTCCAGTGGAAATTTACATGAGCCCATTCTAAACTATAAAATTTCTGTTAAATAAGAATTCGAAGAAATAAAAATTCGGCTAAAACTAAATTCTAAGTAATGAAATTCTGCCAAACAAAAATTTTACAAAATTAATTTTACAGCTTATTCATGGGTCCCATATTTTTTTACTATACTACATATTATAGCCAAAGAAGAACATTGAATGATATATATATAGTCAAAAAAAAAGGGAATAAAGTCGACTAACTGTACAATAACTTAAGTTATCAAAGAGCAACACCAATTACTTCAGGTTTTTCTTTTTAATTATTAGACTGAAAAATGCAGTCAATTGGCCTAGTTTAATACAGAATACTCGTGTTTTAAAAAAGATAATAAATCCGCGGATTTTTTTTTCATACAATTGAAAGAGTTTATTATTAAAAAAAAAAGAAAAATTACAATTTTTAAAGTATATAATATATATATATATATATAGAAGCAAATTAAACGCGTGACCACATCAAATAAAAGATTATCCTGCCGTTATTTTTTTCTTCTTTTTTCTGTTCTTAAATTGAAACTATTGCTCTGAACTATTTCAAAGACTGTAAAACGCCACTCGAACTCAAGACGTCCATAAATATGCTTTTATTCGATTTTTACGACCATAGCTTTCCTACTGCAGTATTTTACTTTAAAACAATTGAACGTGTTTCGATTATTCGAAAGCAAATCAAAAAAAATATTTCTTTTTTTTTAAATCTAAAATCGTAAATAAGTAAAAAAAAGTGATTTTTTTTCAATTTTAATACAATAACGCACAAGCAATGTGTTGACTATGATTTATATTATTTAATACAAAACAAAAATTTCTCTCATATTGTTCAATCATTCATTCAATAAATGTATATATATTTATCTAAAAAGAAATTTTTTTTTTATTTTTTCTAATTTAATCTATAATTTGGATTGTTTGATATTTTCAGGGTTGCCACAATTTTCAAATTTTCCTGACATTTAAGGGCATGTCATAGTCGAAGCAATTTTTACATAGAGCTTCAATGGAAAAATCGTATTGACTTTAACCTGCCCTTAAATATTTCTCTAACAAAATTTTTTTTTTTTCAATTTAATGAATCAAAAAGGAAAATCTAATAATTTAAAGTTGAAAAAAACGTGTTTTCCTACTATACTTCAGTTTTATCACTGCGCTGAAAAAAAATTTATTTCATTTAAATAAAATTTAGTTATCAAATAAACATTTCCTTGAAGCAAATAATAATTTTTTAAATTAAATAAATTGTATTTGAACCAATATTTTCTGTATTTGAATAAATAATTTTTTGTATTTAAAACAAATACCATTTAATTGAATTAAATAATTATTTAATAATAATAGTAACCGATTATTTGAATCAAATAAATTTTTTTTTTCAGTGTATGAAAGTGATCATAGTATCAGTTTTCTTGAAAGAGCAAAGGTAAAAAAGTGATTAAAAAAAACTAATAGTTAAAATCAATTAACGATCAAAATAACTAATTTCTATATATCTATTCAAATTTTGATTAATTGAATTTTTTCATCAACGATTGAAGAATTAATAGTTTAAAATTTATGTAAATTAAATTTTTAATAAATTGAAACATTTAATTAAAATTGACAATGAAATAAATTATATTTCAGATAATTTCAAATTTAAATCCATTAAAATTTCGACCAAATTGAAATTTGGACAAATTGAAATTCTAATAAATTGAAACTTAAGTCAATTAAAATTAGAACAAATTAAAATTGCGATAATTTGAAACTTAAATCAATCAAAATTTGGGTAAATTGAAATTCAAATAATTTGAAACTTTAATCAATTAAATTATTGATAAATTAAAATTTGGTTAATTTGAAATTTAAATTGATTGAAATTTCATTAATTTTAAGTTTAGATTGATTGAATTGGCTTTAAAATTTTAATTTAATAAATTTGTTTTGACCAATAAAAATTAGAATTTACTAAAAGTTGGATCACTTGAAATTTTAAATTCAAATCAATTAAAATTTGAATCGAATAAAATTTAAATACATTGAAATTTAGATGAAATAAAATTCGAACAGATTGAAATTTGGAAAAATTTAATTTTAAATTAATTGAATTGATTAGAATTAGAATGAATTTAAATTTAGATCGATTACAATTTTAATTAATAAATGTTTTAAAAAATTTAAATTTATTAAAATTTGGCCTAAATAATTTTTAAAATGATAAAATTTGTTGATAAAATTCAAGCTTGAGTGAATTCATAGTCACGAAAAGATGAAAATTTGTAATTTTTCCTTCTTTAAATTAATATAATTCAAGAAATTATAAAAAAAAAAATTTCTAAACTAATAAATTATTTTTCAATACTTTTTGAATTTAAATGAATATTTTTGCATTGTAATTTGAATTATTTTTGAAATATTACGTTCTTAAATTAATCGAATCATATGGAAAAGGACAAAAAGGTGAAAATGGTGACAAAAATTTGTCCCTGATTTGTGACTATACCCTGATTATTTTACTAATTTTTTTTGAGAGAAATTACGTAAAAATAACGAAAAATACATATATTGAAATTAATAAATATTTTTAGAGACAATTTGAATGAATGATTTAACGATAAAAATTAAACGAATATAAATATATATATGTATTTATTAGCACGAGTAATCTGTATTGATTTGTATATTATTCAGTAAATTGCTAAGATAAGAGTATAACTAAAAATAAATGGCTTCCTAGTTAGGTTGTAATTGACTGTAGGTAATGCGAATTCGAAAAATGAGAAAGGATGTTTATTAAATATAGTAAAGTGTACGTAAATTAAAAATTACTATAATATGAAACTTATAAGCTACATAATATATATATATATATATCGGTCGACCGCTTATTAAGTGAAAACATGTTTTTTATATGTCACCATAAAAAAATTACCCTCCCGCCCAAAAAAAAAAACATATTAATATATACAACATATAAATTTATTATAATACTTTGAATAATGATAAATTCTATATGCGTTAGCTTTTTAGAAGCTCAAAATGGCTTTCGAATCCACTTAATGTACAATATAAAACTAACAGGTACCTATATTTAGACAACAGGGTAAGATTAAAATAAAATAATAAATCATTTAACTTTGCAACCTCATAGCATTTAATTAAGAATGAAAGAAACTTTGAAAATATTCAATCAATGTATATATAATAAGGCTGGAATTTCCTTTGAAATCGATGTAATAATAAAAATTGATTTTTCTTTTATCAAAAAAGGGGGGAAAAAAATTCCAACTAAAATTTCATAGCTTCTTTTAAATTCAAACAATTGCAAATGTCATTTAATTATTTTTAAAATTAAAAAATGTCAAGACCGCGTGGTTGAGACAAAATTGGGTTACAATTTCTCAAATAAATCATCTAAAATTTAAAAAAAAAAATCATTAATTTCTAAAAGAATACTTATTTTTAAACACCTAACGTGATCGAAATAGATTTCTGAAATTATTAGACATAATTTGGTTTTTTTTTTTTTGTTAAAGTTATTAAAAACTGAAATTTATATTTGAATAGAAAAAAAAAAATTTTTTCACCTAAAATTAAAAAAAAAAAGAGTTTTTAAACTCCTAATGTGATCAAAATAAGTTTCCAAAATTATTAGATCAAAAAAATTTGGTTTTTTTTTATTAAAAAGTGAAATTTTTATCAAATAGAAAAAAAAAATTTGTTTTGACAAAATACAGAAGAAAAACAAATTTATTTGCCTTATTGGAATATTAAAAAAATAATTTTTGTTATAAAAAAGTTTCAAAGTTAAAAATTCATTTTCCTTGAAAATTAACGATTTAAAAAAGAAAAATGCATGTGATCCATTTAAGAAATTCTGACCCAATTGTATAAATTAAAATTCATTAAAACTGTAGAATTATATAAATTATAAAAGCCAAAGAACAATTTTTCATTTCTATTATTGTAAGTGATGAGTTACATATTTATACAAGTTTTATGTAAAATTAAATTATATATATAATTGTTAAAATTTAATGAAAGTATTTTTTATTATTATTATTATTATTATTAATGTTTAAATAAAATTATTGTTGAAATTAAAAGAGTAAGACAAAAATTAAAAAAAAAAAAAAAGTTTTTATGTCATAAAATTGAAGAACAATTTTCTAAATTACTTATTGCGTGATTTAATTGTAATTTCCTTTTTCAAGAATCGACTTTTAAAATTTATATTTTTATCTCAAGAAATTTGTTTGGAATTTTTAATTCATTACTTTTAAAGATAACTAAGTGATTCTACAGATTTTCAATATCCTCTAAGGTAGTTGACCTACATCAGTCTCTGGCAAAAGTTAATTTTAGAAATTCAAAAAAAATTTTAAAGAATTTTCATTTAGTTTTCAATCGATTGTACTCCCTTGGTAGTGTAATGTTTTTTTTTTCTCAATTTTTGAAATGACTGAAAATTATTTTCATGATAAATATTTACTTATTTTATACAATATTATTATTATTGCATAATTATCTATTATTTTATTATTATTATTATTATTATTATTATTATTATTTTTATTATTATCAATAAATAATTATAAACTTGTACAATTTTTATAATTTTATTACATATAATAATTGGGTCAGAATTTCTAAGAAGGATCACCAAAAATATTTTCAATTTTTTTTACTCCTACTGTAATCAAAATAAATACCTGAAAATATTAGGAAAAAACAAATTTTGTTTGTAAAGTTATAAACAATTGAAATTTTTAGCGTTTTAAATATAAAAAAAATTTTCTCGAGATGCAATTGACTAATTTAAAAACAAAAAAATATTTTTTTCTCGTTTTTTGTTTTTAAATAATTAGTCAACTGGATCTCGAGAAAAAAATTTTTTTATTAAAAATTCCAATTGTTAATAAAACTGAAACAAATAAAATTTTTTCTTCGTCTAATATTCTCAGAAAATTTTTTCAATCACAGTAAGAGTAAAAAAAAAACGATTTGAATTTTTTTAATTTTAGGTGATCCGTTTGTGAAATTTTAACCAAATTATAATAAATTTACAAAATTTGAGAAATTTCAGCCCAAAAATAAAAATATGAAAAATAAGAAACAATTGATGAAAAATAAATGTGAATTCTGCAAAAAAAATTTATTATTAACTTTTATCAGTGATTAACAAGCGGATGCTTTTTTAATTTAATTTTGAATTGTCAATTTTTTTTCACAAAAAATATCAAAAGCTTATAAATGAGTCGCAGGCAGCAGGCACACTTACAACTAGCTTTTGTCATTAACTATGTAAATAAAATAATATAAATAAGAAATAGATCTTGATTGTAAGTTACATATAAGGCTGCAGTATTGACGTGAACCGCCCAATCATATAGATAAACTATATACTAGCATTTCAATTAATTTTTTTTTTCAAAAAAAAAGTATTACATTAAACTATAATTGTTCAAATTTATCGAAAATCGTGTTATTTATTTAAAAAAATATATAAACAAAAAAATTTAATCGAAATAAAATTTCCTATTCCATGTGAAATTTTTTTAATTTATTTTTTACAATATTATTAATATTATTTATTAATATTAAATTTAATATATAATAATTAATAATATTAATACAAATAAAAATGATCACTAAACCTGTATGATTCGGATACTAAAAATTTTTTTAATTTTTTATGTTAAAAAACAAAAAAAAAAAAAAAAATTGAATTAAAAATGATTCCTCTTCAGTAAATTCAGAAAATAATGATCACTCTGTATATTGAGAAAATAATTTCTAATTTAGAAAATATATTCTGATTGGTGTGGAAAACTTGGTCAATTGACTTCATCATCAATTAAAACGGGAAACTAAAGAAAAATCTTCGGAGAAATTTTTGAACAATTCTAGTTTTGTATTCGATTCACAGTGAAATATTAATGTTGATACTTCCATGAACCGATTGATCACAATATCTCTACACACGTACACATTGTTGCCACGAAAAACTGCTTTAGAGTATTTAATAATTTGTAAAAAATAAAATCAATATTTTATCTTTAGGACGTTTAATATAAGGTTAACAGTGAGACAGAGGGAGCTTTAAATAGTGCCTGCTTAAAATCCAACTATAGCTTAATTGTGAGATGGGAAAAAAAAAAATATATATATATAAAAGATAATCTAATGATTCAATGGATTGATAGTATTTTAGATATTACTCTAGAAAGTATGAATGAAAGCAAAATTTAATTTCAATTATTTTTCTCTTTCATTGAAACGTAATTAATTTTTCTCATTCTGTTAACAACGAAATATAAGAAGAATTTTTCTTTAGTCTCAAAAGAGGTCATATCTGTATTCTACGAAAAGAAAAATAAATACTTTTCTATAAATTATTATTATTTATAATGTAAAAAGTGCTCAAGCAATATTTATAATTTTAAAAAAATTAGAAGTTAGAAAAATAATTTACGATATCTTATTTTATTACATATTAGATAAAAGAATAATTATGTAATTTAATTTTGATTTAAAACAAATTAGAAACCAAAACTTAAATTTTCTTTTACAAGTTTCAATTAGTAGATTATTATTGATTTAAAAAAAAAAAAATTGTATGCTAAAGTATGTCAAGAATTTTTTTTAAATACTTAAATATTGTTTACGATTTTCAGAATAGTTAAAGTATTTTTAGAAAAAAAAGAGTATGAAAATATTTTAATAATTTTTTAAAATAGTTTAAATGTTTCAACGCAAAAGACACAAAAAAATGATTTTTTTTTTGTCAAAACAATTAAAATAATTTAACAATGTTCAAAAATCTTTAAAATATTTTCAGAGATTATTTTTGAAATTATTTTAATTTTTGTTTTATTTTGAAGAAAAAATAATGTCTATAAGAAACTATTTTAACAATTTTCACATAAAAATAATTTACCAAATTTTTAAAAATATTTGAAAAAAATGTTAAAAATTTGCCAAACACTTCAAAATTAATAATGACAACGTTTATTATCATTGATTTTTAAAGAAATATATTTTTAAATGAAAAATTCTAAAAAATTTCATCTCAATGATATTTCTTGCATTACTAATAAAAAAATTATAAAAAAAAATTTTTTTTAGTTAAAAAATTTGATATTTCATTTTTAAAAAAAATTTGTTTTCTAATCGTTGATCATGAACGTTGTTGAACTTTAGCATCGTTCAAAAATTATTATTTTTGTTTTAATTATACATTAAATAATAAAAGTTGAAAGAAATTGCTTTGCATATTTTTTTTCACATTGGTTACACCTTCTCTTTTAAAAATACAGTATTTTTCAAAAAGGCCTCACTTATAGAAACAATTAAACCTGTGATTATGGGTTGTCACAATTCCCTGTGAACACTGTGTGTTCTGTTGTAGCTATCCATTTAAATGTTTTTGTATTTAAAAAAAAAAAATATATGTATTATCACTTATATTAAAATGAGTAACTATGAAACATACGTAGAATTACGAATTTTCTGTGTATCTGTGATTAATTGAATGATTTATCTTAGTTGTATTTAATTATATCTTTCGACACCAAATTTTTAATCAACAACATTGAATTTACTCGAAAAATGTTGAAAAAGTAATGTAAAATTTTTAAACCATTCTTACAAATTCAAAGTTTATGAAAAAATGTGTAAGGAAAAGAAAAAAAATTTTAAATCAAAAAATCTAATTTTCTTTTTGATATACAAATTTTTCTGTAATAATAATTAAATATAAAAACTTCCATATATTCAAACAAATCATTTTATCTTAATTTCTCTCTAATTATTCTATTAAAAAAAAATTTTTTTTTTTTCATAAATATTTAAAATTATAATATTAAAATTTGAGAACTAAAAATTGTTTTTCCAGAAAAAAAAAATTTTTTCTAGATTTTCAATTAAATTACAGAAAAATTATTAGAAGAAAACACATTAAAAATTTATACTACTTTTTCAATACACATTTTCATAAAAACCAGATAAAAAGAACGAATTCTGATTTATTATTTTTATTTATTTTTCAATTATGAACAATTTATTTCACTCGTGAACATTTAAAATTCTATTAATTTTGCTTCTTTCTATAAAATATTATCGCAAAAAGAAGACAATAAAAAAAAGATTTAATTATTTTAAAAAAATATTCATTTCTAAAATAATAATTTGTTGCATAAAATTAAACTTAATATCTCATTTGAAAATTAAATTTTCAATTTTTTGTTAATTAACCAGAAATGAAAAATTCATAATTGAAATATGAGAAAAAATGAATTAATAATATGAAATTGTAACAATGGATTACTATTGTTTTAAATATTTCATTTGTAATTTTAGTTAAGCGCACGATTCATTTAAAAATTAAACATATTTTCATAGCTGTACAATAATTTTTGCATGAACATGATCGAATGCATGGTTAACAAAAAAAAAAAAAATAATTCGTTTATAAATTAATATAAGAAATTTTTAAAAATTAATGTTAACAATTAGAACATTCTAAATTTATAAAGAAATTATCCTTAGTAATGATTAATTATTTCATCATGAAAAAATTTGTTCACAAAATGTTATTGAATTTTTTCACATGTTATCAATTGATTTACGTGTTTAAGCTCGATAAATCTAAATGTATATATTATATAAATCATAAATCGTCGTAATCATGTATGTAAATATTGTAATACTTAGTTTAATAATTAATATTAAACTGATTCGGTTATTAATTAGCTTAATATTATTATTATTATTATTGTTATTATTATTATTATTATTGTTATTATTATTATTATTATTATTATTATTATTATTATCATTATTATAACAATATAAACGAAATGGGACTCACCGTTATCTGATGTTCCTTCACCTGCAAAATCGTGTCGAAAACAGCTCCACCAATAACCACCTTGAAAAAAAGAGTATATATATATATATAAATATAAGAATAATGTAAACAAATTATTTAGCTAGTTTATTTAAACGTTAGAATATATCTGTAATACTGGTATGGATTTGTATAATCTAAATATTTCGGTAGAGAGTGTACAGAGTTGACAAAAAATAATGTTCGACAATTTGCTTTACAAGAATATAATTTTTAAAAATAATTTTAGTTTCAAATTTTCTTTATCCTATTTATAAAATTTTAAGGAGACGCCTACTTTTTCCTCAATTTTTAAATAACCGAATTTTTAATTAACATAATTTAAAATTACAAAAGTGTTAATAAACCGAATTTAAATATTTCAGAATTTTTAAAAAACCGAATTTTTATAGTTCCAAATTTTCAGTTTACACAATAAAAAAATAATCGAAATACCATTGGTTATAATTTTTATGTTCTCGAATATTAAAATTACAGAAAATGAAAAGAGCAGAAGTTTCACTTGACAGACTTTCTGTTCAACCTAATTGCGATTGGACAAAATTTTAAGAGAACAGAAATATCAGTTAACATAATTTCAATTTTGCAGAATTTTTAGTTAACATAATTTAAAATAAACAGAAATGTCATTTGACATAATTTTTATGTTCTCGAATTTTAACTTTTCCGAAAATAAAAATAACAGAAATTTAACTTGACAGACTTTCTGTTCAACCGAATTGTGATGGACAGAAATTTAAGAAAACAGAAATATCATTTGTCATAATTTTAATTTTGCCGAATTTTTAATTTACAGAATTGAAAAACAACCGAAACACCATTTGTCAGAATTTTTATGGTCACAAATCTCAGATTAACCGAAAATGAAAACAGCAGAAGTTTCACTTGACATACCAAATCCATTGTGTATTCATTGTTTAAACAATCATCAACAATGGATTTATTCTATCAAATGAAAGTTCTGCTGTTTTTATTTTCGGTTAATTTGAGATTCGAGAACATAAAAATTATGACAAATGACATTTATGTTTATTTTTAATTATGTAAACTAAAAATTCTGCAAAATTGAAATTATGTTAACTGATATTTCCGTTATCTAAAAATTCTGTCCAATCGCAATTAGGTTGAATAGAAAGTCTGTCAAGTTAAATTTCTGTTATTTTTATTTTCGGAAAAGTTAAAATTCGAGAACATAAAAATTATGTCAAATGACATTTCTGTTTATTTTAAATTATGTTAACTAAAAATTCTGCAAAATTGAAATTATGTTAACTGATATGTCTGTTCTCTTAAAATTTTGTCCAATCGCAATTAGGTTGAATAGAAAGTCTGTCAAGTTAAATTTCTGTTATTTTTATTTTCGGAAAAGTTAAAATTCGAGAACATAAAAATTATGTCAAATGACATTTCTGTTTATTTTAAATTATGTTAACTAAAAATTCTGCAAAATTGAAATTATGTTAACTGATATGTCTGTTCTCTTAAAATTTTGTCCAATCGCAATTAGGTTGAACAGAAAGTCTGTCAAGTGAAACTTCTGCTCTTTTCATTTTCTGTAATTTTAATATTCGAGAACATAAAAATTATAACCAATGGTATTTCGATTATTTTTTTATTGTGTAAACTGAAAATTTGGAACTATAAAAATTCGGTTTTTTAAAAATTCTGAAATATTTAAATTCGGTTTATTAACACTTTTGTAATTTTAAATTATGTTAATTAAAAATTCGGTTATTTAAAAATTGAGGAAAAAGTAGGCGTCTCATTTTAAGATACATTTATAATAATTGTCAATTTAACCCAAAATCATTCATCTTTTGTTTATTTTAACAAATGTTTTTCGTCATTTGTTTTTAAAAGAAAAATGTCATAAAATTCAAGGTGACATTTTGTATTAAAAAAAAAAAGATTATTTTTATTTTTTTTTCCAAAAGAAAGGTTCAAAATATAAATGAACAAATTTTTTACAAAGAAAAATTAAATTTTCAATCATTTTTTTTTTTAAATGTTAAGAATAAAAATATTTTTGAAATTGTTGTTTGCCCGAAACATTTTTTTTCGAAATCTATATGAAAAATAAGAAAATGCGTATTTTTTTTATTTGATAAAAATGAAGGAAGTTATGATTTTTTAAAATTTAACGTCATCAAAGGCAGTATATTTTTGAAACATTTTTTTAATAATGAATAAAAAATTATGCTGTATATGAAATTTGTTCACTTTTCCTCAAATTTTTCAAATATGTGCTCAAAAATAACGTATACCTATAACAGAAGCAACAAAAAAGTTGAAATTAAATTTAAAAAGTGAATTTTCTCAAAGATGCGGACTCTTTTGATTTTGATTTTTGCATTGCAATCTTTGATGACTGAAAAATTTTTTATTCATTACTACAATAGATAAAAAAAATGTTTCAAAAATACACTGCCTTTGATGATGTTAAATTTTTAAAAATCATAACTTTCTTCATTTTTATCAAATAAAAAAATAAAAAAATACGTATTTCATTAATTTTCATATAGATTTCGAAAAAAAATGTTTTAGACAAAAAAATTTTGTATGAATTTTTTCCGTGTAATATAAAAAATATATAATGTCAAAGATATTTAAAAAATGTTTCTATATATTAAAAAAAATTCACTTACAGGCTTTCCTTTCAAATTAGAAGATTTATTCACTTGAGAATTATTTTTACAGTTGAGATTTTGAGCTATTTCTGCCGCTACTTTCGCATTATTTGTGATTAAAGCGATATCTGGAAAAAAATTACAAGTTCATTATATTTTTTCATTTAACGTCGGTAAAGTTCACAATGATTTAAAAAAAAAAATATATTATGCGGAAAATAATAAAAATTTTTTCTATTTGTCAATCGAGAAAACGAAAAAGTTTTTCTCAGACAAACAATTATAATAATTTGTATTTAAAAAAAAAAAAAAAAAAAAAATTTCTTGTAAATCATTGATTATAAACGTTGTGAACTTCAACGACATTTTTATTACTACTTTTTATTATTATTAAATATATATATCTACTAGATTGCACAGATTGTCCAACTGTAAGTTCAGCAAGTTCTTGTAAAAGAAATGGAGTTATTTCTTTTCCAGTAATATGATTTTCTTTTGCTTTTAATAGTGCTTTTTGTATATTTATTTCAATTTCTTCAGGATCTATTGCATGAGATTCAGGAATAGGAACTGCGAACAATAATCCTGAATTAATGTTCAATTCTCTTTGCGCTCTAATTAAAGATGCAGCTTCCTCTACATTTGATACTTTCATTGGCGCTTTTATTTTATCAAAAGTCTCACGACTATAAAATGCAGGAAAATTTAATGATTCACCAATTGTTACTACAGGCACACCTTTTGTTTCCTGTAAAAATATAATTTTCTTTTTTCAATAAAAAAAAAAAAAAAAAATGCTTCAATTCAAACAAAAATGAAAATTATTAAACTGATTTAATAAATTATGAGATATTTATTTTTACTTTACTAACTTTTAAATAAAAATGAAATATTGTATTATTTATTATATTAATGCAAATTGCAAATAAAAATAAATATGAGAACCAACTGTAAAATTACTGTAAAATGTAAAAATTGGACTGTAAAATTATGCTAAAATCGAATAATGAATAAATTCTAAATTTGAAAGGTACCAACCAAGTATTCTAAAGTTTTCGGTATATCAAGAATAGCTTTAACTCCTGCACATACAACGGTGACAGGAGTACGGCCAAGTTCTGTTAAATCAGCACTGACATCGAAATTTAATTCGGCGCCACGATGAACACCTCCTATTCCTCCAGTGGCCATAATTTCAATTCCAGCCAAATTTGCTAATAACATTGTACTGCTTACTGTTGTACTGCCATTCAATTTTTTTGAAATTACATACGATAAATCTCGTCGAGAACATTTTATTACTTTTTGACGCGGTAAATTTGATAATTGTTCTATCTCTTTTTCATTAATGCCAATGTGCACTTTACCATCTAAAATTGCTATTGTTGCTGGTATTGCACCCTTCAAAAAAAAAAAATTATAATAATTTACATATCAGTGATAAATATACGTAAATTATAAATTTTAAATTAAGGACAAATCGGACGAACAATCAAAACAAAATTTAGTACAATTTTTCAGAGTTGCCAAGAAAGATTTATTTTAAAATACCATTACTTTTCCAGACCATTTTTAAAAAATTCCAGTCCCAAATATAAATCTATTTTGATGAATTTTCAGCAAAATATGACAAAAAATACAAAATATTTCAATAAAATTAACAATAAAATAGTATGTAAATTAATTTCTTGCAAGAAACCGCAAAATGAAATCATTCAAATTAAAAATAATGATTTTTTTTCATGTTTCGATGTCAACAAGATTGAATTTCTGTTTAACCAGATTTTATAAAGTAAAATTCATAATGAATGGAATTCTCCTACCGAATAATTTTTATTCAACTGATTTTTCATTTAATGAAATTTCTATTTATCTATTTTTTTCATATATCTACTTTAGCGAATTTTTATGTAACAGAATTTTTTATTTAAAAAATTTATATTATATAAAGGAATTTTCACAGCTATTTAGTTCAATGAATTTCTAATTAATGAAATTTTCATTTAATTGAACTTTTGAATTGATTTAATTTTACTGATCTTAATTTTTATTTAATCAAATTTTCACTTATCTTAATTCTGATTTAGCAGAACTTTTATTTAGCCAAATTTTTATTTCAACTAATTTTCAATTAATAGATAGAATTCGCTTACATAAAAACTCTATATACGAAATGAAAATTCGATTGAATCAGGCTTCGGATCGACTTAAAGGCACAAAAAAATTTTTTTTCAAATATTATTCAAAACTAAATTTGTTTTATGTACTACTTTATCGTATAAAAACTCAATAACAAACCAAGTATTTGTGATAAATAAAATACTTTATTAAGAATAATTCATGAAAATATTTTTAAAAAATGTTATTTAGTTATTTAGTTTATTTGGAAGTAACATAATTTATGACAGAATTTGTGATGAAACAAATGTATTCTGCCCTACGATAGACTTTTTTAATGCTTCTTTAAACGGATTCACTACAGCACTGCGAAACTTACTATTTGATTTTAACAACAACAATACCACCTAGCGCTTAGTTTTAGTTTTACTTTAAATTGAATTTTGTTAATTTCTTAACAATTTCTTTATATTCTTAGTACTTAGTACGAAAGGGCATTTTCTTTTCTTTTGTAAGCCCGTCTATTTTTGAAATAAAATAAAATAAATAAAAAATTTAGAATATTTCAGAATTTAACTGAGAAAATTTTTCAAAATCTTTAGGTTAAAAAAAATTCAAGATTCTTCTTTCTGAACCATTTTTAAGTTTTATTTATTTGTTTATTACTTTAAAGTAGCTAAATTTATAGAAATTTTTTTCAGATTTTCAATAAAATTTTTAAGGCCATGTGAGACAAAGACACTTTTTGGTAGTTCCAAGTATTCTCGGAAATGAGAAGAAATTTCGGGTTGAAATTTTGAGGAATGATAAAAAAGGGTTGAAGGAATTGGGCCGTTCTACTTATTTACTGTAATTGAATGAGAAATAATTTAAAAAAGTAATTAATAGTGGAATTAATAGGTTTTTGTTATTTCTTTGAGCGGCCACTAACTCGAATTGGCGCTAGTTCCTGGACCACTGATACATTCACGCAACGTCTGTGTGTACCCCCGCCATGTTGACTTCAACTTTCGTTCAAAAATGGGGATTTCCAAACTTTTATTTTTAATACTTAAACGCAAAATATTGCTTCAAACCGAGAACAGCGCCATTCTGAATGCTATTCTCTATCATATTTTACAAATTTCAACCAAAAATTCTTTACCATTTTAGAGTAAACTTGGTAATACGATACCATGTTTTTTGCATGGGGGTCATGTGGGTATTTCCCATATGGCCTTAAATTGAAATTGTCACAAACTTTGAAAATCAGTTTTATAAAAACTTATATATTTAAGGTCAATTCCTAGGAAATTGTTGAGTCAAATAATGAACATAATTTTTAAGTTATAGAAGAATTTTCAAGATTTTAACTCATAAAAAATTTTAAACTTAAGGCCATATGGGAAATACCCACGTTACCCCCATGCAAAAAACATGGTATCGTATTACCAAGTTTACTCTAAAATGGTAAAGAATTTTTGGTTGAAATTTGTAAAATATGATAGATAATAGCATTCAGAATAGCGCTGTTCTCGGTTTGAAGCAATATTTTGCGTTTAAGTATTAAAAATAAAAGTTTGAAAATTCCCATTTTTAAACGAAAGTTGATATCAACATGGCGGGGGTACACACAGACGTTGCGTGAATGTATCAGTGGTCCAGGAACTAGCGCCAATTCAAGTTAGTGGCCGCTCAAAGAAATAACAAAAACCTATTAATTCCACTATTAATTACTTTTTTAAATTATTTCTCATTCAATTACAGTAAATAAGTAGAACGGCCCAATTCCTTCAACCCTTTTTTATCATTCCTCAAAATTTCAACCCGAAATTTCTTCTCATTTCCGAGAATACTTGGAACTACCAAAAAGTGTCTTTGTCTCACATGGCCTTAAACAGTAATCTAACGCAAAAATAAATTTTTAAAAATTATTGAAAACTAATTTTTGTTGTCCTTTTTTGTCATATAAAAATTCAATAAATAAATCGATTAGTTAATAAGTCGATTAAATTAATAACTTCTTTTTAGATATTGAAAATAATATTTTGTAATAAAATTCCTACTTAAAGAAGTTACAAAAAAAATTTTTGTTCATTTGAACGTTCAAAACTTTTGGCTCATATGAAATTATTGAAATAATGAACTAATGATATGTAACAGAACATTTCTGACCAATACAGACTAAGATTTAAACACTTCATTCAACATTTAAATTTCATCTAAATTTAAAACAGAAAAGTTGTAATGTCAACTTGGAAACCTGAGATTTTCTCGACTCAAATACAGGAAATTAAATTTTCAGATCGATATTTCATAAAATTCCCTAACATTTTCAGGTTTTCAAGGTTTTTCATGACAAAAAAAAATTTCCATGACAATTCCAGGTTTTCCAGGTCTGTGGCAACCCTGCTTTTCATATACATGATAGATTTTAAGGTGGGGGATTAATAAAATTTATAAATCCATTGAAATTGACTTCAGATTTTGAAGAATTTTTCAGAAAATAAAATTTCTAAGAAATAAAAAAATATAGTGTTAAAAATTTTGTTTCTTACTGATATAAAAAGGTATTTTTATACCTATATGTAATTCTTATCCAAATCCAAATTTCAATTCTTCAAAATGTTTAAAATAAAATTATTTATATAATTTTACTAAAAAAAAACCTTTTACGTTTATGTGGGAACCTCCCACGTGACCGATAATGGGAAATGTGTTTTGGTAGTATACGTTTCACTCTAAAATGAGAAAAGATTTTTGTCTAAAATTTTGAGGGATGATAGATTAGGATACAAAGAATCTCGCTGTTCTCCGAAAAATACATAATTTTGAGTTAAATTATTAAAAAATGATGTTTAAAAAGTGACATTTTTAAACGAAAATGAAAACAAAGATGGCGGCGCATACACAGACGTTCCTTGAGTATGTCAGTGCTCCAGTAAACAGCGCCAATTCGAGCGAGAATGAACTATGATATAATACATTATTTTACTATTTATTGCTTTCTGTTTATTATTTTTGCGTTAAGTTATGGTGAATGAGTAGAACAGCGAGGTTCCTTGTACCAAACAAAATCATTTCTCCAAAATTTTAACAAGAAATCATTTTTTATTTCAGAGAAAGTTTCAAACCACGAAAAAACGTTCTTTGCCCACATACCCTTAATTAAAAAAAAAATAATAATTTAATAATTTACTAATAAAATTCTAATTAATAGCATATTTTTGTACCGATTGTAAATAGGAACTTTTTAGATTTTTTTAAATAAAATTTGACTATAAAATCAAGTTTTTAAACCAAATAATTTATAGCAAACTTTTTGTTTAAAAAAAAAATAGTAAATTTAAAAAATTTTATTCTTACTTTAATAAAAAGTGTTTTTGATAAAAACATTACCCAAGAGTTATAAAAATAAAAATTCGTAATTGTTTATCTTAACTAATTACCTTAAAATCTTAAAAAATATTTCATAAATTAATTCATTAAAATTAATTATATAAAGAATATTAATTTTTAAAACTAATGAAATACATATTATAACTGTATTTCTTTGACATAAATAAATAAAATAAAATAAAATACAGATAACGAAATTATATTCAATATTAAGAAATAAGATTGAAATTATACTCACATTTTTTCTTACTGCGTCTTCAACCTGCAATGCAGTTTCTAAATTCTGAGGATAAGGCATTCCATGAGTAATAATCGTTGATTCCAATGCAACAATTGGCAATCCATCGTTTTTAGCTTCCAACACGTGGGATCCATAAGTAAAATGATTTTGATTTTTGATATCTCGACTGATAAGTCTTTGAAATTGTTGTCTATAATTGCTTATATTCTTTAAAATTTGATAACATTTACTATTTAAGCAAGAGACCTTCATTATAATTTATAATGTCGGAAAAATCTGAAATTATTGAAGTAATTGTACATTATCAACAATAAATAATAAGCACTACGAATAAGTTTTCAAATAGATTAAAACATTTTCAAAAATAAGAAAGAATACACTTTAACTGCACTATGAACGTTATTTTGACTATATGATTTTAACACACATTTTTTGACAATAGTAAAATAAGACAAAAAAAGTGAGATAGAAGATTTAAATTTAAGTTTCAAACAGTTCATCTACAGGGTTGAATAGGCATCGAATTAATACACAAAACCCAATGGAAAGTTGATAGACAAAATGCATGTTCACGATTGGTGGGTAATATTTCCAGCAATAAGGGTGTTTACATACTGATAGTATATGGCAGTTCAACTTGTGACATAGCGTGACGTCACTTTTCAAAATGGCGGATCGTTGGAAGACATGCAATGCATTGAAGGCCATCCGGGAAAAATCCCTAACCTAAAAGTGTTTTCCCGCGCGAGATATTACTCGTAAATAACTTAAAATATTTTGTTTGGATTTGTCGGATTAATTAGATGAGGGCGATTTGATTAAGGGGACTTTCTGGTTTAGAATTTCAAAAAAATCGATTTTTTTTTTTTGCTTAAAAATGTTCCATAGTATCATAGAATTACTGTCCCAAAACGTTTTTTAAAAAATATGTACAAAAACAAAAGTTATAACAATATTTATGACGGTATGTATTTCAACAACAATCTACAGTTATCTTATTTACATATTTGGTGTTCCTCTTTTATTGATATTAGCTTGAAACATGTTACTCGAGGGTTTTTGGGGTCGCTGATTACGAATTTGATGTCAGTTTTTGAAAATACAAAATGGCGGATCCAATATGGCGGACGAAAAAATAAAAATTCAACCGGATTTGCTTAAAACTTGTTACTCGGGGGTTTTTGGGGTAGCTGATTACGAATTTGATGTCAGTTTTTCAAAATACAAAATGGCGGATCCAATATGGCGGACGAAAAAATAAAAATTCAAGCGGATTTGCTTAAAACTTGTTACTCGGGGGTTTTTGGGGTAGCTGATTACGAATTTGATGTCAGTTTTTGAAAATACAAAATGGCGGATCTAATATGGCGGACAAAGATTAAGAAATTAATTAAATTTAGTTGAAAATGGTTACTTGTGGCCTTTTGAGATTGCTAGTTATGAATATAGGCACAAAACATTAACGTTCTAGGAACGTTTTAATTAATTAAAAAAATTAATTTTTTATTTTGTAGTCCGCCATATTGGATCCGCCATTTTGAATTTTCAAAAACTGACATCAAATTCGTAATCAGCGACCCCAAAAACCCCCGAGTAACAAGTTTTAAGCAAATTCGGTTGATTTTTTATTTTTTCGTCCGCCATATTGGATCCGCCATTTTGAATTTTCCAAAACGGACATCAAATTCGTAATCAGCGACCGTAAAAACAGCGGGATACAAAGTTCTGTTGTAATAAAAAGTTGTTTGATATTCATGACTCAATGAACTATGTTATGAAAACTTTGAACGCGTTTTTCTCGAAAACTCATTTTTCAAACTGGTACAGAGCTTTTGTCGAAATCTACCGAACCGATTTTGAAATCCCAAAAATTTTTCGATTCTTTATTTAAAAAACTGGGGCCTAAACCTCTAAAAACTCATATTTCTACCCCCTGTGTTTTTATATGGAGGTAAATTGACCCAAAAACACGGCGTTTTTGCGAGTTTTTGAGAAAAATGTACATAAAAAATAAAAAAACCTTTAAAAAAAATCGTTTTTGAGGTTTAGGCCCCAGAATAAATCCTTATGAAGAGATTCCCGTTTGGAACTTGAATTTATGTATTACAGGTTGCCCGGAAACTAACGTACCAAAAAAAAGGTATCTTTTGGAAGACGCCACCTACAGCTATGAAATTGAACTAAATACACTCAAACATATTTTTTAAATTTTCTCTACGCAATGTGCTACAATGTCCAAAAATAGTTTTTACAATTTCTTTAATACTGTTCTTACAATAAAAGTTTTAAAACCTTCCTTTTTTGTCAATTCTAAACCAGAAAGTCCCCTTAAGAATCATCTCCATTTTTACAAGTAATTTTGTAAAAGAGTATTGAAATTCGTGGTTATAAAAGTTGGATTTTTGACAGAAGTGGGGACAGTAGGGGAGGCGAGCACACAGACATTGAATCTATGTGTCAGTGGCCCAGAAGGTGGCGCCAATTCTAGCTAGTGGCCGCTGCTGAACTAACTTATCTCAAATTACTCCACATTAAATCTTTAATAAAATAATTTCCTCACAATATTATTGCAAAAATGGAGAAGAGCCCCACTCAGTGACTCTTCCTCTATTATTCCTCCAAATGCCAACTCGAAATACTTTATCCTTTAAAGATGAGAAGAAATTTACGAAACCCCTTTTTGTCAATGTTTAAACATTTTTTTCAATAATTATTTATCAAGATTATGCAAAATTCCTAGAAGAGCCCTTAGCAGGGTACCTTCCTCTATTATTTCCAAAAAATTCCAACCTAAAATATTCTATCTTTTTCAAATGAGAAGAAATCTACAAAACCATTATTTTCTCCAGGATGGCCTGAAGTCAATTGAGCGAATCAGTTTTTTTAAAATAACTTTTGAAAAATTAATTTTTGAACCCAAGTGTAATTGTAAAATATCTTTTATTTATAGAGATCTATTTTTTAAAATAATAAAATCAAAAAATTAATTTTTATTATTTTAAAAAATAGATCTCGATAAATAAAAAATATTTTACATTTACACTTGGGTTCAAAAATTAATTTTTCAAAGTTATTTTAAAAAAACTAATTCGCTCTATTGACTTCAATGCATTGCATGTCTTTCGACGAGCCACCATTTTGAAAAGTGACGTCATGCTACGTCAAAAATTAAACTGCCTTTTGGAGCATTTTCACCTTCGGCAAAAAATTTTTTTCACTTTGCGTTTTCCGAAATACACTTACCTGATTGATTATCCAGAATCTGATTCATTGTGGACAACCAATCAGGTAAGTGTATTTCGGAAAATGCAAAGTGAAGAAATTTTTTTGTCGAATAAGGTGTAACTCACAGCAACTCCCGAAAACATTCAAGAAAATTAGAAAAACAATCAAAAATATTGCTTTAGGGCTAATACACAATAACTTAGCGAATATTGTTCGTGAACGAGGTGCACGATCGTATATATACACGTTGCCAAATATGCCTACACTTTTTGTCCCTTTCTAACGCACGTATTGCCATGACAACACGTGTGTTAAAAAAGGACAAAAAAGTTTAAAGGTGCTTATATACCTCAAATTTCGATCAGATGAACATTATTTCTGGACCGTGAAAAGTCATTTTCACGGCGGGTATTTTTGAATTGTTTTAAACAAAAAATGTTTTTTTAAGAAATATAATATTAAATAATTGTTTTAATATGTAAGAACACTTTAAAATAGTGATAGAGAGATGATTTGATTAAAAAATTTAGCAAATTTCGCTTTAAAACGTTTTCTGCTACAAGAAAGTGTAAAATGACGATGTTTGTGAAATGGTTTGTACAGTGCTTCTTCCTTGTTAGTGTCTCTCAGAGTTTTATTTATGTTATGTCGGTTCTTTTTAACTTATAATAAATAATGAGTGCTGAAAATAAATCGGTAAGTTGAAATGTTTATCAAATAAATTTAAATTCTACTAATTGTTTCGAATAACTGAAAGAAACATGTACACATGTACACTGTACAAACCATTTCACAAACATCGTCATTTTACACTTTCTTGTAGCAGAAACGTTTTAAAGCAAAATTTGCTAAATTTTTCAATCAAATCATCTTTTTATCACTATTTAAAAGTGTTCTTACATATTAAAACAATTATTTAATATTATATTTCTTAAAAAAAACATTTTTTGTTTAAAACAATTCAAAAATACCCGCCGTGAAAATGACTTTTCACGCATTTTCACGGTCCAGAAATAATGTTCATCTGATCGAAATTTGAGGTATATAAGCACCTTAAGCATATAGGCCTAAGCAGAATTAGGCTCTGTCACTTGTGACGTCAGAGTCGATTCTAGGTGTGACGTCAGAGGCCTGGAGGGACAACAAACAGACGACACAATGTTATTCTTATGGGGAAGAAAATTAGTTTCCACTTTCATCAATTTTATTCATACTTTAAATATGGAAAACGCTTATTGACATATAATAAAATTAAAATGTGTTGATAATTAATTTTGTTATATATTTGATTCAATTGCATTTATAGATTCTCTGAATTCGTGATAAAATATAAATTTTGAGGTTAAGGGTGTTTGTTTAATGTTTACTAACTTGAAATCTTTTACTGCTGCGGTAATTCCCACTTAAAATATATATTTTATATCTTTTTTAATAACATGCATACTGGATATTGTTTAATAATGTTGTTAAAATGTAAAATGTGATTAGTAAACAAACACCCATAACCTCAAAATTTATATTTCATCACGAATTCAGAGAATCTATCAATGCAATTGAATCAAATATATAACAAAATTAATTATCAACACACATTTTAATTTTATTATATGTCAACAAGCGTTTTCCATGTTTAAAGTATGAATAAAATTGATGAAAGTGGAAACTAATTTTCTTCCCCATAAGAATAACATTGTGTCGTCTGTTTGTTGTCCCTCCAGGCCTCGAATATGAGCCAAATTCATAAAATGTTCGAAATATATGTACTAATTTTGTGCCAAATAAGTATAAAATGTACTTAAACTTTTATGTATTCATAATAAAAATATTTCTAATTAATAATAGTCTTTAGTCTAATGAATTTTACGTAATTTTATACTGTTACTTTCTTCTTAGGAACTGTTACTTCCCTTCTCGGGGGTGAGGAGGAAAGTAACAGATGAATAGCTTGCGGAAAAGTTATACTGTGAACTTTCAATTTATTATACATGTTTATTTCAAATTTTATTTAACAGGTGAATGTCCAAACTTTCATTTAATATATTGGACAAATTTATCCGACAAATATTTTTAACGCTAGCATAAAAAAACTGATATTTGTTATAACAAATATCAATAGAAAGTATTGGGATGTCCGCTGGAGGCGTGGCTTAGCATTTTATCCTACGTTCAGTAGTAGGATTCACCACTATGTCTGAAAGTTACTCTGATTGGTTTAAACGGGACAAAAATTGACAAACATCCTACCCACACAGCACCGAAAGTTTCCTAAACCTGTATTAAAGCTGTGCGTGCCAAGTTGGAAAAATTTACCGTAAAGCTTAGCACAGGTTGTGTAAATATGTAAATGTCCGCAATTGAGTAAATGTTTAGCGTAAAACTGTACTGAATCTTTAAATTACGTATTTAGTACAGGTTTAGCGTAAAACTGTACTGAATCTTTAAATTACATATTTAGTACAGGTTTAGCGCAAAACTGTACTGAATCTTTAAATTACATATTTGGTACCCCTATCGAAAATTCCGATATCGAAACCTATATAGGAAACTATATGGGAAACTATATTGTTTCCCATATAGTTTCCTATATAGGAAGCTATATATAGCTATATATAGCGTCAATAATATAAAAAAAAAAAATTCTTCCGACGTGTTGACTCTGAGACGCGAACCCTCGACCATCATAGCTCTCAACCGCACTGGGAGCGCCTTAACGGGCTCGACCAGGGGAGGCTATGAAATATCTTGAGAAAATGTCTCTTATAACGAAAATACTTTAAACAGATACTTATATTATTTTGTAAAGTCATCAAACAGTTTTTCAGATGTTTATTATTACAAAGAGTATATTATTGTATACATATATTTTTTTCCAATGGTATATGCGTTTTAATACCCAATTTTATATTCGGAGTTTTTTAAATTCAACATTTTAATTTAGAATGACATGAATTTAAATTTTAATCAAGTGAACTCTGCATAAATTTCAATTTTTTTGGAAATAAATTAAGTAACAATGTTCGTATAGCAAAATAATAAACTAATGTAATTTGTATAATGCTAATACTTAATTACAACTCACTTTAAACCAGAATTTTCTTATATGAAATTAATGTGATCAAACATAAATTATTACATAACTACAATTCAATAATTATTTTTTTTTAAACAAGGAAAATAAGTTACATTGACAGAATTCTCAAGTTTTTAAAAGTTCCAAAAAAAAGTTATCAAGCAACAAAAATTTACGCACAATTTTATTATTTTTAAACACTATAATATTAGTGGTACCTCCAATTTTAATAAAACTTGGTATACTAACGTATTTTGGTGCGTTAATTATGAAAATGTTAATGAAAATTGAAGCAAATTTGATTATTATGGTAAAAACCGACGAAATGTTTAATAAAATTGTTTTACGCTAAACCTGTACTAAATATGTAATTTAAAGATTCAGTACAGTTTTACGCTAAACCTGTACTAAATACGTAATTTAAAGATTCGGTACAGTTTTACGCTAAACATTTACTCAATTGCGGACATTTACATATTTACACAACCTGTGCTAAGCTTTACGGTAAATTTTTCCAACTTGGCACGCACAGCTTTAATACAGGTTTAGGAAACTTTCGGTGCTGTGTGGGTACTTTTTTAAGGGTTAAAAATGTTTTTAACAGAGAGCGCTTCACAGTAACGGACATCCCAATACTTTCCTCCTCGGCCTCCCCTACATGTTGCCATGACAACATGTGTGTTAGAAAAAGAAAAAAAGGTGTAGGCATATCTGGCCACGAATGTACATAGTATTAAAAAAAATTAGTTCAAAATTTTTGTAGTAGAAAATACGATTTTATACACAATTTTTCAAAAGAAAAATGAAGGATAAAAACAGTTGTAAAAATAAGATTTTTATCTTTAAATTAGGAAAATTCCAGTAAATTAGTTTTCGGTCAATTTTTGCATTTTGAACCATGTAATTTACCTGAGTTGTAAACGTTTATATTCTGGTAAATACATTATTGTATGTAAAATACTCTATTATACATTTTTTACTATAAACCAACGCACATTGAAATCATAAAGGCGTTTGTATACCTCACCAATCCCGAGTATAGTTCTGTCGTGCATCATTGGAGTAAAAGAGACAAAAGATATTTCTGTCCCTTTTACTCCAATGGTACACAACGCAAGTATACTCGAGATCGATGAGGTATACAAGCGCCTTAAGGTTATGTGGGAACCTTCCACGTGACCTAGTATGGAAAAATGTGTTTTGGTAGTATACGTTTCACTCTAAAATGAGAAAAGATTTTTGTCTAAAATTTTGAGAAATAATAGATTAGGGTACAAGGAATCTCGCTGTTCTCCGAAAAATACATAATTTTGAGTAAAATTATTAAAAAATGAAGTTTAAAAATAGTGGCATTTTTAAACGAAACTGAAAACAAAGATGGCGGCGCATACACAGACGTTGCTTGAGTGTGTCAGTGCTCCAGTAAACAGCGCCAATTCGAGCGAGAATGAACTATGATATAATACATTATTTTACTATTTATTGCTTTATTTTTATTATTTTTGCGTTAAGTTATGGTAAATGAGTAGAACAGCGAGATTCCTTGTACCAAACCACGAAAAAACGTCCTTTGCACACATACCCTTAAATCGTAAACATTAACATTAAGTAAACAAGGATAGAAGATATTTCTGTCGTTTTCTCTTTCCTTCGTAAGTGATACGATTTACGATTTCACTGTGCGTTGGCCTTATATTACATTGAGTACGTTTCCAACCCTGGAGACTATTCAACTAGTCAAACCTGACAAGGAATTTTAAATATGACGTCAAAAGGTCGCATTTAACGTAAAAAGGTCAATAAACCTCAAAAATTACAAGAAAAAAAATATTTTGATATAACTGTATATCATAACCTCATTGTTATTTAATTCAAAATTTTTTAAAAAGAAATTGCCATTTCGCGGTATTTTTGTAACTGTAAGAATTTTTTTTTTATAGAATAAAATTTAAATTTTTAAAAAGTAATTATACAACTATTGACTCATTTTTACACAATGTTAATATATAAATTTAAATTACCTGATATGAATATGCTAATGACGACGTAGACACTAACTGGTTATGCCAAGTCACTGCTGCTCATTCACATTTGAACTTTATTATCATTAAAACGTTTTTCGGAACACACTAAAAAATAAAAAAAAAAATATATAAAAATACAAATTACAAAAATGGCAAATAAAAAGTCCAGAGAAATTGGAGCATTGGCAAAATTTTATTTACGTAGTTATAATGCAATTCAAACATTGGGGTAAGATATTTATTATTATTAAATCAATATTATTATTTTGTTAATGATAAGATAATTTATTGTATTTTTTATTTAAAATTTATTTTATTGAGTGACTATAAAGAAAATATTATGTTTATAGATGGAGTTTAATTTTATATTTACTTGTAAGTCATATGTCTGGTGGATTTCAAGGAAGAACATTATGGGAAACTGTTAAAACATCAGTTATAGTTTTCCAAAATGCTGCAGCTTTAGAAGTAAGTAAAAAAAGAAAATTCTGACAATTTGAAGTATGAATTTTTTTTGTTCATTTTATGAAAATTTTGGAAATATAGAGTCTATCAAATATATTAAAATATTTTCAAACTTACATGAAAATTTAATAACTAAACACTAAAAAGTCACGTTTTTAAATATTTTTTTCATTTTTAAACTTTTTTAAAAATTTTGAAATGCACAAAAAAAATTAGGCTTTATTAATCTTGCTCGAAGTATTCTCATTTATACCCCTCTATGAGACTTTTAATTTAAAAAAATTCATCCCTATAACTTTTATAGAATTTGAGATATTTCTAAAAATGTAATGTATATGAAGCATTCCACGGGAAATTTTCATTAAAAATTTTTTTTGTCCCGAAAAAAAAAATTAAAAATCGAAAGTGTCTCTCTTTGAGAAAACTTACTTTTTAACTTTAATTTCAACTCTTTTGTTGCTTCCCATTATAAGTACGTTATTTTTGAACACATATTTGAAAAATTTGAGAAAAAGTGAACAAATTTCATATAAAGCATAATTTTTTATTCATTAGTACAATAGATAAAAAAAAATGTTTCAAAAATAGACTGCCTTTGATGATATTAAATTTCAAATAATCATAACTTCCTTTATTTTTATCGAATAAAAAAATAACAAAAAGGAATTTTGTTAATTTTCATATAGATTTCACGAAGCTGAAGTACGCAACGTTTATGATAAACGATTTTAAAGAATTAATTTTTTAAAATGAAAAATTCTATAATTTTTCGCCTAAAAAATATTTCTTGTAGTTTTCATTAATTAACAAATTATAAAAAAATATTTTTTAGACAAAACATTATAGAATTTTTCATTTTAAAAAATTATTTCTTTAAAAATCCTTTATCATAAACGTTGCGTACTTCAGCTTCGTTAGATTTCAAAAAAATGTTTTGGGCGAAAAAAATTTTTTTTGTGAAAATTTCCCGTGGAATGCCCCACATACAAACACATATAGAGCGGCATTTTTTAAAGATGTGATTTTTTTTATTCCTAAGGTTGAAAACCATAAAGATATACACTGAAAAAAAAATAATTTAAAAACAATTTTTTAATACGGCAATTTCTGACGTTGTTCAAGTTCACAACGTTTATGATTAACGATTTAAAAGAAGAAATATTGTCTCAATTTGACCAAAACTTTGTCTTGTAGAATATTAATTTTACAGAATTGTAATTTAAAAATTTTTAATTTTGCAGAAAAAGGATTAGAAAGAATATTAATTTTACAGAATATTTAAAACAGAAAATTAAAATGGCAGAAATAATTCGGCGAAAACATGAAATTTGACCAATCACAATTTTCTTGATAATATTTCTGATAGGTCAAATTTGAAGTTTCCGTCGAATTATTTCTGACAAATTGATATTCGACCATTTTAATTTTCTGGAAATTAATATTCGAGCAAATGAATATTCTACAAGACAAAGTTTTGGTCAAATTAAGAATCGATCAAATTGAATTTCTATGAAATTAATTTTCGTCTAAATAAAAATTCTTTCAAATTGATTTTCAACAATTTGCATTTTCTAAAACATTAATATATTCGAACAATAACAATTGTCATTTTTTCAGTGTATAAAAAAATTGAATTAAAAATTTTGTTATTACAATTCTTCCTCCATGAGAAAGCAATAATTATTGATTATTGTCACTGCTTTCATTTCCAAAATGTATAAAAAGTTACTTTTCTGAAACTGTTTTATAAAATTTGAAACAAGTTATCAATAATTACTGTTTTAATTACTAGATTCTACATGCAGTAACAGGATTGGTTCCATCGAATCCAATTATTACAATTTTCCAAGTTTTAAGTCGAGTTATGGTGGTTTGTGGGATTTTACTTGCAACACCAGTAGAATATGCCGCAGCATCACCTGGTCTTCCATTGGCCTTATTGGCATGGTCTGTCACGGAAATTATTCGTTACGGTTACTATTTTATGAATCTTATGGGCGCAGTTCCATATTTCCTAGTGTGGCTGAGGCAAGTATAATATTTTAATTTTCAAGAAAATCATTTACCGTATTTGATCCACTTATTTTCTTAATTCAAGAAAATTTACTTCAAACCTAGTAAAATTTTCTTGGATCAAGAAAATATTGAATCAAATCTATTTACTATAAATTACTTTACAAAAATCAATGACAAAATTCGAATGCTGAAAATAATTACAATTTTAAAAAGATAAATTTTTATTTATTGAAAATATAAAAATTTTGAATCTATATTCTTTTATAATACTAAACATCAAAGAATCTTAAAAACTTTAAGAATAAATTTTTTAAAAAAATCTCACTAAACGATTTGGTCATAAAAGAAGGTAAAAATTTGTCACAGAAAATATTTTCGAGAATTTATCAGTTAAGAAAATTAATTACATGAATTACTAAAAAATAAAGTAAAATAAATTTAAATGCATTAACATAAATAAATAATTAATGTCAACTGGAGGAAATCTGAAAATTTTCTTTTCAGTTTCTCCTTATTTAGTGTGGTTAAAATTTCCTTATAGGAAATTTAAATATATTAAAATTCAAAAAAAAGGAATTAGAAAGTTAAAAAATTTATAAGATTTAAAACATCTTTTTTTCGATACAATTTTCTAAAAATTAATAATAAATGTTTTAAAAAAATTATATAAAGCAAATGTTTAAGAGTATATTCAATTTAAAAAATAAATAAAAATAAGGCACGATACAAAATTTATGTTCATTAAAATCATTTTATTTTGCAGCATTATTTTGAAAATGTATTTTAAATTTAAAAATAATTATTTAAAATTAATTATTTTAAAAAAAAAACCACCATAAAGTTGGCGTCGACGCTCAGCGCCGAAAATTGTTTTTCACAGGAGAAAAGAAATTATTATTTTTTTAAAAAAAATTTTCAGTTCAAATAATGCCTTGAGAAATACTTTTCAAAATATTATTTGGACCCAAAACCTTTTTAAAAACGATTTTATATTTTTTTTGGTCTCATAAAAAATAATTTTCAACACTGAGCGTTAACGCCAACTTCATGGAGGTAAAAAATAATAAAAATGAAAAATAAAAAAAAAAATATTTTAAAATTGAGACTCAAATTTTTTTTCTATTATATAGGTACACTACTTTTATCATACTGTATCCAATTGGAATTACTGGAGAATTATTGTGTATTTATGCAGCTAAAATGTATACTGCCTCAAAACCAGAAGCTTGGAGTTACACTTTACCCAATGCCTGGAATTTTACGTTTAGCTACAACTATTTTCTTACATTCGTAATGCTTCTCTACATTCCACGTAAGATTTCTTTATTAAATTATTCTTACTAAAGGATTCCGTAGAAAATATATATTAAATTTGGTAACCCTCAGACAATTTTTCTTTAATTTTAGGATTTTGTAGTTTCTCTTATTATGAAAAAAATAACTGTAAAATCCTAAAGTTACAGGGTCTACTTACACTACCGTCGAAAAATTGTCGGTATACGGCTGACGTGCGAGGAGTAGAAATTTGGTGCTGACTTTAAAGCAAGATATTTTAAGCTAAAAAAAATAATAGAGACTTCTAACTTAGATGGTTGGAAAGCTGATAAAATTCTGCTTCTCAATGTATATTAAGAAATTTTTTTTCTTTTTTTTTTTTTGTATTTATTACACCAAAAAGATTTCAAGAAAAAATTATGCAATTTTCTACTTTCGTATACTAATGTTTTTTGACTCCCGGCATAATCTAGAATAATGCATGGAAAAATTTGACAATTTTACAACATAATCTTTAGGGTCTTAGCTTTAATTTGCATTTTGTAAAACTTAAAAAATGTTTTGTGGTTCCTGAAATATGTTAAAAAAAAGTCCGAGCATGTTTTCCTACAACTCAGCCGTCAATCAACACTTTTCGCCGCCTCGCTGACGAAGCTGAAGTACGTAACGTTTATATAAACGATTTTTAAAGAAATAATTTTTTAAAATAAAAAATTCTATAATTTTTTGCCTAAAAAATATTTTTTTATAATTTGTTGATTAATGAAAACTACAAGAAATATTTTTTAGACAAAAAATTATAGAATTTTTCATTTTAAAAAATTATTTCTTTAAAAATCGTTTATATAAACGTTACGTACTTCAGCTTCGTCCTCGCTGCTGGGTTGTAAAAAAAACATTCTCGAACATTTTTTAACATATTTCAGGAACTACAAAACATTTTTGAAGTTTCAAAAAAGCAAATTAAAGCTAAATACTTAAAGATTGGGTTAAAATTTTAAACTTCAAAAATGTTTTGTAGTTCCTGAAATATGTTAAAAAATGTTCAAGAATGTTTTTTACAACCCAGCAGCGAGGCGGCGAAAAGTGATGATATTGTTGTCAAATTTTTCCATGCATTATCCTACATTATGCCGCTCTCTAAATATGAATCAGTGAAAAAGTCACTGGTCTCAAATCAGTCGATAAATTCTAGCTATTTGAATCAGTGGTTTTCACTGACAGTTAGTGACATTTCACTGGAGAATCAATTACTTTGACTGAAAATCAGTGAAATGTTATTGATTCAAATAACTAGAATTTAGCGACTGATTTGAGACCAGTGACTTTTTCACTGATTCAAATTTAGAGAGCGGGAGTCAAATAACAGTAGTACGAAAGTAGAACATTTAATTATTATTTTATTTTTTAAAAAATATTTTTTTACTAATACAATTTAGGGTAAGTGTACTAATTACGGCGAGTGCACCAATAACGGCGCGTTCATAAAAAATAACTATTATTACTATTATATTTAAGATAACTGTTGCCAAATGATTAAAAAAAATTATTTCAATCTTTTTTTGATACAAATACTTATAAAGATGCACATTTAAACAATTATTAATTTAATTATTTGAGATCAAATTTTTTTCCGCGCCGCAATTGAAACATTTTTAAGATTTCCATTGGCTTCAATTTCGGCGGGCAAAGTATCTTCAAAATACACGTAATTTTGGTCACCGAAATTGATACACCGAAACTGATACAAACTCGCCGCAATAGAAAATTACGGTATTAGTTTTAATTTCTCATATTTGTTTAAATAATCGATTTTTATAGAGTTAAAATTTTTTTTTAATATCTTAATAACATAAGCTTTAAGTTTAATAAGTCTTAAATTGAGTTTATACAATAGAAATGTCGAATTTTCTATTTCAAAGGTGTTTTGACACAACAGTTTCACATCTCTGTGTTCTTTTTTAATAATAGAGAAAACGAGACATAAAATTTTTAAAGTTTTTTCTAGAATTAATCTTTTTGAGTAAAAAATTTTCGAAAAATTTAATATTTCCGAAACGTAGCAAAATATTTTCGTCAACTTTTAATAACATATTTATATTAGTAAAAAAAAAATATCTACAAAACATCAAATATCGAAGAAAATTAAAAAAATTTCAAGCTTCTAGAAAAAAAGGTTATAAACTTATGTGCCTGAAGTTTTGAACATGTTCAAAAATAAATGAAAAATTTATTTACTATTTTCTTAAATTCAAATTTTATTAAAAAATATTGTTTTCTGTATTTAAAAAGAATTTATTAAATTTTTAATATATCTATTTTTTTATTTTTTATTTCTATAATAGTTTTTAAAAAAAATGTATACAAAAAAAAAAATGATTTTCAGTAAAATTGACTTAGAGCTAAATCTAATGTATTTCCTGCGGGGTTCTTTTAAGTAGTAAAAATTTGTCTCAATTTTTATAAAATATGCTCTAAATTACTTTACTTTTTATTTTCAGTTTTCCCACATCTATATCTACATATGTTTTCTCAAAGAAAAAAGATTTTAAGTCCACAATCAGTTTCGAAAAAAGTTCAATAAAATGAACTTCATACTTTATATTGAATATTTTGATAAAGGATTTCAAGGTCATTAAGGTCACAAAGAAATTTTATACAATAAATTATATATATATAACATTTATGACTTTGTCTTTAATTTTCACTGCCCTATCTTTGCAATGTTTATTATTGTCTTTAATGGAAATATTCAGTTATTCAAACTATTTTTACATTAGTAAAATTTATGCAAAATATTTATTAAATCATAATTAATATACGAATATTTTTATCTTATGAATTATTTATCGGTTATTTGTCATGCAAAAAATATTATCAATGTTATACAAATTGTTATAGCATTAATTTGTAAATATAACCTTAAACTTACATAAAATTTTTACACGTTCCTCCAAAAGTTACTTCTTGTTCACAATTTCTTCTATTTATTATTTTCCGACTTATTTTCAAAAGAATAAAATTCACTTTGTCTAAATGCCTCATATGTATTACTTCGTGTTTTTGTTAACACATATTTATCACAGATTAAAAGTTAAGAAGGACAAATTGGATCAAGACTGTGTACAATATTTATAAAATAAAACTGTTTTGAACTAAAATCTATCACAATTTATAAAATTTATAGTTATTTATAAGGTGTATTCCACGAAAAAGCCGGTTTGTTTATCAAGCAGAATACCGCCTTTTTATCAGCCACGAAAGCAGAACAAAGAATGTCAACTCAGAGGAAAAAATGTCAGGGTCAGGTAATGGGGATTCTTAGGGTGCGCTCACAGTTTGAATAATGAAAATAATTTCCATTTCACCAGAGATGGGTACACTCGTGGCGAGATATGCCTACACTTTTTTGTCCTTTTTCAACGCACATGTTGTCATGGCAACAGGTGTGTTAGAAAAGGACGATAGGCCAAAGCAGAATAGATTCTTGAACGGGAACGCAACCGAGAACGGAAACGTAAGAATGAGTGAGAAAAGAATAAAGATATTTGTTATCCTTCTCTTACTCATTCTTACGTTTCCGTTTACGATTGCGTTCCCGTTCAAGAATCTATTCTGCTTAGGCCTTATCTATTATATAATATAACGTTGAGAAATAAAAAATGTTCTTATTTCTCTCACTCTTATACGTTATATTATATGATAGATAGGTAGCCTTGCTATCTACCGAGGTGTGTCCGTACCCTTAAATGCATGAGATAAAAAAAAACGCAAATATATGTTTGTTCTTTTTATCTCATGGATTGTGTTTGCAAACGATTTTCGCTATGCTATTCTACCAATTGATGGAGCATTTACACCTTCGGCAAAAAATTTTCTTCACTTTGCATTTTCCGAAATACACTTACCTGATTGTTTGTCCAGAATCTGATTCATTGTGGACAACCAATCAGGTAAGTGTATTTCGGAAAATGCAAAGTGAAGAAAATTTTTTGCCGAAGGTGTAAAGGCGGTTCGAGAATAGGTGCAAAAGCCAAGTACAAGTGCAAGTGCAAATCCCATAAGTGTGAAAGAAATAGGTAGACTGTCTATCTCTCTTGCACTCATGGGATTTGCATTTGGACTTGCACTTGTACTTGGCTTTTGCACCTATTCTGGAACCGCCTTAAGCGCTCCATGAAAGTTTGAACAAATTATTAATGTTACGTCATTCAAATATCATACGTAGGAAACACTAAGGTGCTTACATACATTCTTCGTTTTCGGCAAGCGATGTATTTTCACGGAGAATCACTGAATTTGATTGGCTATGACAAATATTCCATTTTCACTGTAAAATTAAATATTGTTGGTTGGTTTCCATTGCCCCCACTCACCATTTGTCATAATTCTCGTCAACTACCGCAGTCTGCTCTAGTGAAAATTTAGTGACTTTATTGTTAAAATTAAAAGTTACTATACAGTCACAAAATTTTTACTAGAACAGAGTGCGATAGTTGACGAGAATTTCTACGTATTTTACGTGGTTGACTATATGTAACAAACTTTACAAAACTATTTAAAAGGTGCCGTCCCATTTGGGCATAAAGGCGCCGTCTCATGACAGCGTAAAGTTGGTTCTACAATAAGCACGTCGGACATGTACGTGAACGTGCTGACGTCAGCCATTTGAATAACATTGTGACGTCAGCACATTCACGTCCGACTCATTTATTGTAGAACCAACTTAAAACGCCGGCGTAAAAGCGGGAAGCATGAAAACGAAAGAGATAGTGAGATATGTTCATCTCTTTCGTTCTTATGCTTTCCGGTTTTATGTCGGAGTTTTAAGCTGTCATGGAACTGCGCCTTAAACTATGTGAGTAAAAGAGACAAAAAATATCGCTATCTCTGTCACTCTCATGGTTTACGTTTTCGGTCGACGCTTTTAAGGCGCATTCAGACCTCTCGACTGCCTGCTTGCCTGCTGCAGTTGCCATGGTAACATAATGGGATTGAGTGTAACAGACGAAAAATTTAAATTTTCTGCTTCACTCACTCTTATCATGTTACCATGGTAACTACAGCAGGCAGGCAGGCAGCCGAGAAGTCTGAATGCGCCTTTTCGCCAGCATGGAACGGCACTTGAATAAAGCATGTACACTTCGGTTTTGAACAAAATGCAAAAATTTTATTGGTTGTTCATTTTTAAACTCAAGAGAATAAAAAATTTTCTATTGGAAAAGCCAATCAAATTTAAACATTTTCTTTGAAAAATCTGACCAGACCGAGGTGTGAACGCTTTATTAGTTTCATACAAACACAGGGTTGGGCGCGTATAAAATATCTCAGGTAAATTACGTTTTTTTTACGGTAAAATACCAGATATTTTTTATGAATTATTATTGACAAGAGTACACGTGAAACAGTTTTTAATTATTTGTTGGTTATGTTCAAATAATTTACCTCGCGTCAAAAACTCTCAGCATAAAATATCTGGTATTAGGCTCTGTCACTTGTGACGTCAGAGTCGATTCTAGGTGTGACGTCAGAAGCCTGGAGGGACAACAAACAAACGACACAATGTTATTCTTATGGGGAAGAAAATTTGTTTCCACTTTCATCAATTTTATTCATTTTTTAAACATGGAAAACGCTTGTTGACATATAATAAAATTAAAATGTGTGTTGATAATTAATTTTGTTATATATTTGATTCAATTGCATTGATAGATTCTCTCAATTCGTGATAAAATATAAATTTTGAGGTTATGGGTGTTTGTTTACTAATCACATTTTACATTTTAACAACATTATTAAACAATATCCAGTATGCATGTTATTAAAAAAGATATAAAATATATATTTTAAGTGGGAATTACCGCAGCAGTAAAAGATTTCAAGTTAGTAAACATTAAACAAACACCCTTAACCTCAAAATTTATATTTTATCACGAATTGAGAGAATCTATCAATGCAATTGAATCAAATATATAACAAAATTAATTATCAACACACATTTTAATTTTATTATATGTCAACAAGCGTTTTCCATGTTTAAAGTATGAATAAAATTGATGAAAGTGGAAACAAATTTTCTTCCCCATAAGAATAACATTGTGTCGTCTATTTGTTGTGCCTCCAGGCCTCTGACGTCATATCTTGAACTCGAAATATCTCGATGAACTGACACAGCCTAATTTTACCGTAAAAAACCACGTAACTTACCTGAGTTATTTTACTCTCCCAACCCTGGGAGTATACTCTATAACGCATGACTATTCAACCTTGGTCTCTACAGAATAGAAATAATTAACAGTTGGTAATCCTGCTACCTACTTAATCGAAACGGGTGGAACAAGGAGCAGTTTATAAAATAGAAACGAGATGGAAAGTGAACGTCATCGAAGAAAAAAAAAGCACATGATTCACGTTACACGAGCAGTCTGACTCCCTGACAGTCTAAGCAATATGGCGAATTATGTCATGAGCTCGATAGAACACAGTGTGGTTTAAATGATAGGAAGTTCGCGTTATGGGGTGAGAATAATGTAGCGTTTAGAAAAATCGTGTGAGTAACGAAATTGTGCATTCGGAGTACCTTGTGATTTTACAATCGGGATACACAGTGTACGTTACCGGTGTGAAACATGGCCACGGATAAGATAAAGGTTGCTGTTCGAGTTCGACCGTTCAATAGAAGAGGTAAATCCACTATGAAACCATAATACTGACACAATTCTTTTCAATGACATTTTTAAACAATTATTTTTTAATTCTTTACTTCGCTGTCTTAATTGTTTACAATACAATTTTTAATAATAAATCATTAAAATCGACCTTCGACTTGACAAGTGCTGCAGGATTGGACCACTTGTGTCTGTTGACACTGACACTTGCTCCAAAATACAGACCTGTCATTGACAAATTATTCAGAGACGTCTTTTGTTGAAATAGCATGTTTTTTGTTAAAAAAAAAAAATTTCAGATGCTTAGTTTTACGTTTTGACAAAAAAGAATAGTTTATTATTATTATTATTATTATTTTTGTAATTAAAAATTGACTTTTATCAACAATTCTTTATGACTTGTATTAACTGTCATTCTTGTATTTGAAACAATAGGCAACCAGTTTCACAGAAGTTAAATATTTTTAATTTCTAAATTAATTTTTTATTCTATAAAATATGCTTCTTTTCGAGAAAAAAATAGAATATAATGAAATAGTTTAGAGATTGTGTAACCTTGAAACTTTGAAAACCTTGAGTAATCTTAAAGAACTGTTGTATTGAAAATGCACGTGTTTTTTTTTTATTATTATAAAGGCAATTCCAAAAGATTAAATTGATTTAATTTCCTTCGCAATAATCGGCATTACTTAATCAGCAGGCATTTGAAATAATAAGTCACAGCTGTTTTAATCAATAAATACACTTGATAAAATTTTATACTTATTTGGTTAAAAACTTTTTTTTTTATATAACTTTTATTTAAAAGATCCTTTTTAAAAATATTACTTACGATAATGATAATTTAAAACAAAGACAATTTTTTTTACCATTGTTTAAGGATTTTTCTATAATTATATAAAATTTCCATTCTCTAAACTATAATATTGTGAATGTTTAAAAAAACCTTCCTTTTTAACGAATGAGTCACAAATAAATAAACATTGAGTAAATAATAATACACGAGTTCGTGAAAAAAAAAAAATATGCAATTTTCTTTTCGTGAAAAAAAAAATTTTTGATTTTATGTAATTTTTTTTTTTTTTAATCTCATATACTCATAGTAAATAAAGTGATGATTATTACATATTTTCCTTTATGCGAGTGACGTATCAATTTAACACAAACTCAAAGTGCAACATACTCATATATATACTTTCTACAGGATGTTAAGAAATATATACGTTGTAAAGAATATTAAATTTGAAAATAATGTTGTCTTTGTTGTTTATTTCCGGGTTTCTCTTGATAAATAAGTTTTTAAACATTTTTGCAATTAATCACTATTTTCAACCTCATCAAGATGTTTAAATTTAATCTTTAAAGAATTTATTTCTCACTAATGTTAATAACTGTGTGTGCATGCGTGCGTAATGTCGAATTCGTAAGCGTTTTAAAAGGAATTGAAGTGATTCAGAATTATTATCAACATTTTATCTTTCAATTGTTTAAAAAAAAAAAAAAAAAAAAAAAAATTCTTTAAAGTGATAGAAATTAGAAATAGTTTTAATTTAATCCGATTTTGATTAGGATTTAAAATGTTTGGTTCATTCAACCAGGATGAACTACACCTCAGTAATTTTATAAAGTCTATTGCATAATGCTCTTAAATAGAAATGTAAGCAGTTATATAGATGTGCAGAAAACTCGCATTATTTTAAACTCTTTAGTATATACGTCATCTAATTATGTAACCGCTTATATGTTTTCTGGAGCTTTTTTTTTTAATGAACCTTGATGAAGCAATAAAAGAAATAATCAGATTGCATATTTTTATTTCATAAAATTATTAAACTTTCCTTTACGCTTGGAGTGTTGATTGTGACAATTTGTATTAAAAAAAAAAAAAAAAAAAAGAAAAAAAAATAGAATGTTATATACTTGAAAAAGTTTTTACTAAACGCTGCGAAATCACGTGCGCGCATGAAAAGGGAAACATTTCGTATCATCACTACTCTAATTAAATTGACAGAAAATTATGTTACCAGGCCTCGGAGTGTACTACTTTTTCAACATTTTTTTTTTTCTAAAAATGCGCCTTATTTCGTCTTTTATAATGTAAAATCTGACTAATCAACTTTTTTCAAAAGTATTTTTTTTTATTATTTAAAATTGGAATTAAGTCATAAAATTTTATTGATTATTTGGAAATAATTTTAATTATTATTTTATTAATTTAATAATTTACGTCTCTGTGAAGTTCACATGAGCCAAAATTTCTGAACGTTCAAATGAACAAAAAAAATTTTTTCAATCTATAAATTATTAAAAATTATAATGTCAATGTAAAATAAAACAGTAAATTTAATAAATATTAAATTAATAACTTCTTTTTAGATATTTAAAACAATATTTTGTAATAAAATTCGTACTTAAAGAAGGTTGCAAAAACAAATTTTGTTCATTTGAACGTTCAAAACTTTTGGCTCATAAGTTCACAACGTTTATGATCAATGCAGGCCTTGGATTATACGACTTTTTTGACTTTTTTTTTTTTTTTTTAAATACGACTTTTTTCGACTTATTTTAATAAAATGCAACTTTTACGCCTTTTTTTACATTAAAAAAAAATTTTAAACAAAATACGTTTTTTAGTATCCAAGCAGATCTTCTTTATTTCAATTATTTAATATGAGCCAAAAATTTTGAACGTTCAAATGAACGTTCAAAACTTTTGGCTCATTATTTAACAAATTTTTAAGTAAAATTCTTCACTAAATTAATTATTTTTAATAATTTTTATGAAATTTAATAATTGTTTATAATTTTAAAAAAATTATCAAATAAACTTATCAACAATTTTTAATTCATAATCACTTGAAATTTAATTATTTGCAAAAATTTCAATTATTTTTAATGATTTTTATAATATTCTTCGAAAATTCAACTATCTGAAACCATTTTCCACTTAAAATGTTTTCAAATTATTGTATTTTTGTTTGTAATTTCTAATAAATTTTTTAGTAACAGAAATCATCAAAAATGTTAAATTAAAAATCACTTAAAGTTCATTTAATTTCAAAAATCAAAACTGTAAATCTTTGAAAATATTCAATTACTTTTAAAAAATGTTATCTAAAATTATTTGATAAATTATTTTTAGTTCTGTGAAAATTTAATTATTGTCTGAAAATTAACAAAATCTTTTGATATTGAATTATTTTCTAAAAAATTTCAACTTTAACTCTTCCAAAATTATTATTTAAAAGAAATTTTATTTAAAAATCTGTAAAACTTGATTAAGTATTGTCTGAAATTATTTTTACCATAAAAAACTGAAAACTATGACAAAATTTTTAATTTGAATAAATTACTTAAATCAGACTTAAAAAAATTATAAAAATAGAACTTTAAGATTTTTTTTTTAAATTTGTCATATTTAAATAAAATTTTGTAAATTTTCCGTACAATTAGTTTGATTCTGAAATATTCGAAATAAATTTTTTTGATAATATTCTTATAGAATTATTCTCATTACAGAAATAATAAAATGAATTTAATATCTAATAACATTAGTTATTTAAAGTTAAATATTTATTAACGAATTAAATTTTGTTAAAATAAAAAAATCGACTTTATTTTCTATATGAAAAAAAATTTTTTTTTTCAATCGTTGATAAACGTTGCGAACTTTACCAAACGAAATTACATATTTTCATTATATTTGATCTCAAATTTGAAAATAATATCAAATTTCAATTGTTTGAATAATAATAATTGTAGATCATTTTCAGTATTTGATTTCAAATTTGAAAATAATTAAAAATTTTAATTATTTTGAATAAAAATAATAATTGAAGATCATTTTCATTATGCGAGTGAATAATTAAAGTTGTTTTTGAAAATTTATTTTTATGTTTGATCTAAAAAAAAATTTTTTTTTCAAATCTTTGAAAGTATTGTACATCAGTGAAGTTTACAACGTTTATGATTAATTATTTAGAAGAAAAAATATTTTTCTATACAAATTATTTTAATTTTTTGTCGAAAAAAATTTTTTCAACGTTTCTCGAGCAATAAATTAAAAAAAAATTATTTGTAAGGAAAAATGTTATTTTCCGCATGAAAAATATTTTCTATTTTTTATCATTGATTTTAAATGTTATAAATTTCATTGACGTAGTGTTTCAGCTCGAATTTTTTTTTTAATATTTAACTCAAAATAATATTCCTTTAATAGAGCTTAGAAAAAATTTGGAAAATTTCTAAAAATTGAATTTTTTTTAATTAAAAAAATTTTACCGAATAAAATAATTTCCATAACTTTGATTTTTTTTTTAACAAAAAAGAAGTTGCAAATGTTTTTTCAATATTCGATTTTCTGAAATAAAACATGAAATTTTGTCTGAAGAACTATTTTATTTAAAGAATTAATTCATTTAATATTAATAATTAATAATCAATATTTAATCATAATAGTTATAAAATATATACTAATTAATTAAATTTATTAAGAAATGAAAATATTGACTTTTTTATTTATAATGTAATGCAACTAAAACGACTTTTTTTTTACAAAGTCAATTCGAAACCTATGTTGATATTTAATTAGCTAACTTGCAACCAATTAATTAGATAAAATTGATGTATTTTTTTTACTAAATTAAATTTTATAATTCCCAAAAATATTATTCCATATTTGATTTTATTGGAAATTAAAAATCAATTTCTTTACTTATCGAAATTCAATAACTCTTGTAATTGAATTTATAAGGTTTTCTATTTAAAAGTACAGTGAATAATTTAATTTCTTTTTTTTCGTTTAAAAATGAATGTCGATAAAAAATTTTTAAATATAGAAATTTAATGAAATTAAAAATAATTCATATAAAATCTAATTTTATTAGTTAAAATTTTTTTTTTTAATATTTCTTTCACTTTAAAATTTTAATTTTATCATTAAATTATCTTTTAATTTATCTCTTAATGCATAAATTTATTTTTTTTATACATTAATAATGTTTGTTAAATTATCAT